TCTATGGAGGTTTAGACCAATGAAGATATTGCTTGGATGTCTCGAGGACCTACAAGTGTTTTGATAGAAACAAATGATGATTCATCTGAGATTGATGAGGTTGCTGGTGGCGTCAGGTGATAGTTTAGAGCAGTTCAGTGGTGATGGAGACGATGGTGTCGGCATGAACAAGAAGAGAGCAACAATGACGAAGTCGGGTCGGTGTTGTTGAGTACTCAGCAAAGCAGTACAAAGTCGACAACGATCCCAGCAACAGGCCTCACTCTCAAAGTCGCATCTCCAAGCTCCTTCCTTTATCACAGCCCAGGGTCCTTCCTTCCCAACAGGACCCAGGTTCCTTCTCTCCTAGCACAACCTCGGCATATATACCAGTGTACACACCCAGCTTCTAATAGCATCTCCAATGTCTTGACCAGGGCGCCCTTGTGGTCAGGTCAAATGGTCAGGATATAGAGCTGCTGTTAAACCCCCCCAGCGTCGGCTTCGGCTTGCAACCGACAGCCCCCGAGTTCGATCCCCCCTCAAGTAAAACCTTTCTCAACTGGGTTTTCGTAGCCCGCCCATTGGGGCTGGTGAGCTTTTTGCATTTTTTGCGACTTTTCTCACCTAGTGACTCCCATTTCCTCTGTGTATATGTGTCAAATATATTGGAGAATGGTGGCCATCATGAAGTTCATGAACCTTTATGGCTAATATGGAAGGAAGTTTTTGACATCGTGAACATCATGGCTAGCACGGGCATCATGGAGGTGACCACCATCTCGTATTTATCTGATCGTGTCTGCCCATGTCTTGGTGGTCGACAGAAAGCAAGGCTAGTGCAAGAAGGGTTAATCGACAATGGTTGGCGGTACGAGATAGTCATTTATATTGCTCTCAACAGTTCAAAATCGATATTATTTGGTATTAGCATCGTCAGAGTAGCCGTCCAACCTGGTGTCAAGGATGCTTGAACTAGAAGACACACCACAGATTCAGCGTCTGGTTGAGATTTTCCAACCAAAAAGCCTAGAGTAACGACACTCCAAATAGCCAAAGGAATGTCACAACAGCCGTCAATTAAATTTAACATATGTATCTATCCCCCCATTCCCGATCCTCTTGTACATATACAAACCCCTTTTATCGTCCCATCTACATCGGCGCACTCCACCTTAAGTTGATCTGCTTTTTCCTCACCTGTAAAGATGAATTGTTAGCCACAATCCCCATAATATGCAAGAAAAGTAAGCTTACCATAGGGCCCAACATAGTCACACCAACAAACAACGCCAACACCGTCGACACAAGCGACACCTTGTTGAAACCCTTCCCAAGGATATCAAACAAGAAGCTAGGAGTGACTCTTGTGCCGAAAATATCCACACCATAGGCAAACACGAGACTGGTGCTTTCAACAATAGCCGGCGACGTAATAATTTTCTTGATACCAACGACATCCCTCTCGTGCGTGATAACGCTCTTGGGGTCGATCTCAATCGCGGGATGGTATCTGAACAAACCCTCCTCGATCTCAGCAGGCGTAGCATCGCGACCCACAGGACGGCGAGGCTCGAGGAGCATTCTTGGGATGCCCATGATACCATGGTTCTCGGGCAGGTAGGCGAGGATATGGCGAGTGGTAATCCCTTGCCTGGTCTGCGAGACCTGCAGGGCCGAGATAGGAGCGCCCATGATGTAGGTCTGGGAAACTACCGAAGGCAGAGCGACACCAGTGGGGACATCGACAGGGTCGAGGGAGGAGAAGGTCGAGGCATCACCAAGCGGGCCGCGGTTATTAGCCTCCTCGCTTTCGTAGAGATCCGAAACAGCAATCTGGTAGCCTTTGAGAGACTGAGCCGAGTTATCACGCAGTGTGTACTGCCCGAAGAACGAGCAGACGAACCAGTTCTCAGCCATGGCGCACTCGACCGGCTTAGTGGGGTCGACACCGTTGTACTTGGCCGAGGAAAGGATTTGGCCAGACACAGTGTCAAGAAGGTAGACAGTGAGGGTCCAGGTCTTGTCGTCGATGGCGGCAACAACAATAGTGTTCGGGTTCAAGTACTTGTACTTGACTGTGCGGTCGCCAAGAACGCGGCCAATCGAAGCAACATCATCGTGTGAGGGCCTGGTAGCGATGCTGACGACGCGCTGATTCTCAGGCAAGGAGAAGATCCAAGACGTAGATTCATGAGCGGTGGTACCATCAGGAATGAAGACGACACCCTTCAGTTCGCCATCGGCACCACGAGTGACAACAGTCTGCTTCGGAGCCTTATCAACAGGGAGATCACCAATCTTGCCGTCTAGGCCAATGCGTAGGAGACGTGGGCCAGAAGCGGTGTCAATGAGAGCAGTGCTCTGAGTTGTTGCTTCGGAGCTGGGCGCCTTAGCGCTAATAACTTGACCCGTCTCGGTCTTCAAGACCACAAAGTCATTGTGAGCACCGAGGATTGTGACCTCACCCGATGACTCGTTGACCAGGATTCCCTTGACATCCCACTTCTGGCCCTTGGAAATCTGGAATGCCCTCTTTTGCCAGACAGCAGCGCCAGAGTTACCAATGTCAAGCCCGTAAACCATACCGCGCTTGGTGGCAAGAATGACCAGCTTATGGAAGCCAAAGCTGTCACGCGACAGCTTTCCAGCCGAAGAAGTGACATCGGTGCCGGCGATGCTGCTAATCAACCTCGCGGGCACATTGTTGAGGTAAGCAGGGAGGTACTGGAGATCGTTGATATGGCGCTTGGCGCGATGAATATAAGCTTGAACCGGGTTGCTATGGGCCTCCTGTTCGAGAGACTTGGCCAGCTCTTCACTCTCAGGGATCTCAGCAAAGGTAGCAGCAACGCCTCCAGAAAGGCCTTCAGGGCGAGTCCATCCGATCTCACCATTACGAACGAGAGCCCACTCGTCATCGGCAGTAAGGGCCGCAGACCGAACGGCATAGCTGCCATCAGCTCCAGCCTTCTTGATCACCTCAGATACTGCATGAATGGGAGCGACCTTGGAGTTGGTGTTCTTGAGGGGCCAGCGTCCAAGAACGCCGTGAGACTGGGATGAGACCAAAATCAACTCATCCTCAGTGATACGCGTGAAGTACACGTTGGCTGAGATCGAGCTAGTTGCAAAAGCGCCCTTGCCTGGAAGCAGAGGCAGATTATACGCCTTGGCGATATGACCAGTCTTCAGGTCGATGTGGTAAACCTCGCCCTTGTTGCCAGTCGCAGTCTTGCTGTGCACCAAGAAATGCGGCTGCGACTGAATCAGATGAGGAGCGTGAATCTCAACCTCAACAGTCCCCTCAAATAAAGGAAACTCCTGGCTCGTCTTCAAACCTAAAACGTTGACCCTCAAAGCCGTATGCTCAGCATCAGTCCAAGCCACAATTGGAGCCGCCGAGTTCGCGCCGACAAGCATGATATCTCCCTCGTCATTCAGGTTCGCCTTAGTCCCAATAACCAGCTCATCCAGCCTCTTCCCAGTAAGCGTATCCAGAGTCGTAACCTTGAGGCTGTACGCCCCCTTGGTCCCCTTCAAGAATACCACGAAAACCTTCTCGACATTCGTGCTGACCTGAAGCGGCACGTCCTTGGTCACCTCCCTGAACTCCCAAACCACATCCCCGTTAAGCGCATTCAACCGTCTCAACACTGTCTCCCCCTTCTCCTCCTCCTCAAAAAGCACCAGCACATCCTTCCTCTCCGCCTCCGTCATCTCCATCACCTCCAAATCCTTGACCTTCCCCGGAAACCTCGCCCAGAACGTATTCCTCCCCGTCACCGCATCCCAGGCATGCACCTCACCTCCATAAGCACTAGCCACCCATCCCTCACCCTCGCCCGCCCTGGCGAACCCCTCTCCCACTGCCGTTTCATTGTTGTTATCCCCCGCCAGAAACTGCCTCCAGACAACCCCGCCAGTACCCGGGTTTACAGCCCCCAACACGCCCTCATCACTCAATGTGTAAAGCAAGCTTCCTTGCTCGTCTTTTCTGGGGCGGTGGAAAAAGGTTGTTTCCCTTTGCGGAAGGCCGAGGAGTTGGTAGTGGTAGTCAATATGGCCCACTTCATCTCTGAAGACGGCGCGGACGGCCGAAGGGAGGGCGAGCAGCCCTACTAAGAGGGTTGTCGCGGAGGGCATGGCGAGCATGATAGCTCTCGCTTCGTAGTATCGTCGTATGTTGAGGTTCAAGCGCTCATCGATCGGGACGTAACAGGTGTGTGTCGTTGATGTTGGGCAACGGGCGCGCTAGTGGGCGCCGGAATTGGATCGTATCGATTGCAGTCAATGGGGCCGCTCTATCGGTGTTCCATCAGTTGAGAGTCGCAAACTGAGTACGGTATTCTTTCTATTTCTCTCGCTGTCGTGAGATTGCGCCGCCTGGGTTGGTGTTGATGGTGGAAGCTGGCAAAGAGCTTGCAGAAGCTCAGAAACGATGGGAGCGGGTCACAAACTTCCCTGGGACGTTGACCTGGAGGTGACGTTGAAACAAGCCCTGCCTGTCCAGCCCCGTGGGTCCCCGCAACCACCCCTGTCAAGAAGCACCACAGCTCAGAGCTCGTGCCATATGCCAAGACTTATCCTCGACATCAGATCTCAAACTTCACACCAACGAAAGACCCGCACCATGATTTAAAATACACTTAAGCCCGATTTAGCCAGCCCTCGACTCGAATCTGGGCTTATGGCTGAACAAGGCTGCTGCTCTACAAACATGAGCAACACCCCGTTACCTTATCCATGCCAACTTCCCCAGCAAACGACCTTTGCGAGCAACAAGTCAGCCAAGACGAATGTCCCTCAACGATTGGGTATATGCAAAGAATGCGTTCTTAAAACTATCTTTCATGGCCTATTAACGATCCTGAAAGCATATCAACTATCTTCGACCGCCGATAGCAGATGTTGAACATATATCCATTATCTTTGGAGACCTATTCCCTATTTTCAAAGGCCTATTCACTCTCTTCGAAGCTATATTAATTATCTTTAAAACCTTATTACCTAGGTATCTTCTAAGACCTCGACTGACAGGCAGGCACACACTTCCACGAACATCCAACTTTCAAGAAGGGTATAAGCAACTCCCTGTCCAACTTCGTCGCTGCAGGAGCCTTGAACTCAACCCACCTGGTCAGGGGAACGACCATCCCCCGGTTACACACCGAGCATGTGAGGCCACCTCTGCGGTGGGCCTCCGCGGCCTGATTGAGCGCCTCCCGAACGTCCGGATAGCCTTCATCAACTTCCAACCAATAGTTGACTTCCTCTAGCTCGGGCTCCGGCAGCTGAGTAAGCGTTTTGAGCGCATACTCGAATAGCGACCTCGCACCCTTTGGGTTGAGGAGCCTGTTATCGTCCTGCTCCCTGTAGCTAACATCCTGGGGCATCTCGAGCTCGGTAGGGTCCTCCACCTCCAATTCCAGTGAGCCAGTGCTCTCAGCCAAATCTCCGAACAACGGCAGACGAAATCTCGAGTAGATCCGACCATCGCTGCCCAAGAATTCCACTGGGGTCCGGATCAATGGGTTGGGACCGCAGTTTGTTGTCGCGGCCTCGAACGAAACCTTCTCTGCCATCCACCAAGGATTTGATGCAGTATGAAGCATCACCAACTTCCCCTCATCGCCCATGAGCCGCAGAATCTCGGCCGGAAGATACCTGAGCTTGTTTTGCGCAAGGTTAAGTGTCTTCAGGTTCTTTAGCTTTCCAATACATGTTGGAATCTCCGTCAAGTCGTTGTTTCGGAGAGTAAGGAACGTAAGAGGTTCGATATTCACCAGAGATGAGGGAAAGTCTTTAAGGTTGTTGTTGTACAGATATATCTTGATGTCTGGGTCAGCTTGACGGAATGACACGCCCTTCACAACCACGGGAATCGGCTCGATATCGGCAATTGGTGCAATAGTCTCCGTCGAGATAGAGTTCAGGCCAAGGTCACTAAAATTTTGTCAGTCAAAATCCACAGCCAGGCGACTCATTGGATGGTATCATAGGTACCTCAAATCAACCTCCTGGGTGCCGTTCTCCACACATCTTTTGATCCTCTCCCGTGCAACTGCCTCAGCTTCGGACAACTGTGGTTGAGATCGAGGCGATATTTTCAGCTGTGCCGGCGACGCGAAGAACTTTGGTGTGTATGGGGTCGGGACGTCGCCCTCTGTATCAGTAGAGTCCGGTCCACCCATGAAAATACCGCTGTCGAGCTTCCTGAACTCGCGCTTTTGCTGTCTCGCCCCAGCCTTTCGCCGAAGAGGGCGGCAGACGATGGGCGATGAGCGGACAAAGGGCGACGACGAGTGATCACCCATTGCCGAGTCGGAAGACAGAGCAGCATGCTGCTCATACCATGTCCCTACATACCGCCGCTTGTGTCGGCGGGCGCTTTCGTATGCCTCGAGTGCAGGGTCGTCATCGCTGGAAAAGACGGCTGGATCGCTCGAGGTTGAGACACTGGGTGGAGGCGCGTTGGCTTGCGCCCACGCTCGCTTGCTCGCCCCATTGAATGGGGTTTTTGGCAGCGTTGGTAAGACCTGCTCGTCCGCCATGGCTCACCGGGGTTACCTCTAGGTCGGCAAAAGGAAAGGAAACAATGGGGCTGCGGCGACGCGACTGGCGATAAGCTTAGAGCTGTGAGCAACCCCGCATACGGCAAAAGAATGATGTCAAGTACTCTACTCAAAACGAGATGAACGCGGAAAATATGTGGAGTTTCTTTGATGCCTGAGGAGCGAGAAAAGAGGTTCTCGGTATCAGGGAAATGCCTGGGTAGAAATGGTCTTTTTGAAAAGGAAAAGGGGAATTGCAGAATCGCGTATCCTGAAAAGTCAACAGCAGGTGACCCTGTCGCGAGTTCGCGCTCTCCTAGAAAGGAGCACAACCCCACACTGGCGTCATGCACTTATTTTTTAGTGCAGTCTAGGGCCGCATATGGGACCGTGCACTGAAACATTGTCGCGGCTGGGTCCGGGCCCGGGCTGTCAAAGAGCCCCCCACGATCCCGAGGACTTGGTTCGGTCTCTCGCCTCCATCTTACAGACCTGGCATGCAGTGTAATCTACTGTCCGCACCCAGAATAATTTGTGCTGCAAGTCAGGAATACGTGTGACGACTATCACTTTACACCCTTCTAAGTAGGAAATTTAGCCGCTCTTTAAGGCCTAGTGGCTAGCTTTTGAGGCCTACTAACCACCTTTCGAGGCCTACTGGCAGACTTTGAGAGAGTCATGCCTGTCTTTGAGAAGTGGTTCAGCAATATGGTCGGGCTAACTTACTTTGCAGTGCCAGTATGTTTGCCCAAGGGTGTGGCTGGCTACGTCAGGCGGGGGGGAATACACCACGCGATGATTCGGAAGACCTTGCAAAGAATTACAAGCGAGGATGTGTCTTTCGCTGTCTAGGTCTGATATCAGTCCTATAGTAATTCTTCCGTTACAGGATCAATCACATTCTCAACCTACAACTCCTGTCACCGCCTCATCGCTCACATCACTCCCATAAAAATAAAAAGCTCAACATGGCACATGCCTCAATCATTGACTGCAAGGTACCTGCCTGATCTAGCCGATGCACATCCTCACCACATAATCACCCCTCCTCATCACAAGCTCGCTCACATTCTTCCATATACATCGCTCACTCAACATCATTCAAAAAATCATCATTCGCTAACGCCCGCTAAAAGACTACCGCGCAAGCCCACAAAACCACCCCCATTCCATCCCTCTTCATCTCCCCTTACACTCCCTTAGCCCTCTCTCTCACCCCCTCCCCCTTCCCTCATGCCCAAACTGGAACTACCTGCCACCAAACTCCTCACCTCTTCCCACCAAGAGACTGCCCCTCAGTCTGCTCCGCCAGCGCCATAAAGTCGTTGTCATCCAAGTCAGAATCGTCAAACTCATCTCTCTTCTGGCGTTTGGCAGGGGGTTTGTCATCCTTGGTACCGGCATTGTTGTTCAGAAACTGACTGTTGGTCAGCCTGTGGGCTTCCCAGATGTCCCAGGGGTTCGTGGGAGCATCGCTGTCGGTGTTGCACACTGGGTTCATTGTCGGTTTCACCACCGAATTACTGGGGGGGTGGGCGAACTGGTTGGTCGGTTGGTAATTCGCCTGAGTACTAAGGTCGTTGTTAGGTTGATTGTTCGAGGGGCGGTTGAACTGGTTCCGAACAGGTGTGGTATTGTAGCTGTTGAACGGGTTATTCCCGTGGTAGCTCGTCCGGTAGGTGAACTGGCTGGTTGGCGTGGTGTTTACCTGCCCCTTGGGTTGTGTTTTGCTGTTGGGCACGGGTGTATCAAGTTGGTCGGCGAGCTCGATCATGGCGTCCTTAAGGCCAGTATCGATGTCAAATTCCTCCTTCTCATCATCCTCTCTCCCTCGCGTCTGGGGAAGCGTGGGTGGCAAGACGAAAGTCTTGTTAGGCCGGTTACTGGTGGGTGTAACCATGCCGGAAGAAAAAGGCTGCTGCCCTGCCATACCCAGGGACTTGGTCGGTGTGTTGAAACGACCGGAAGTATTCGAAGTCGGCGCAGGTTCTCCAGGGACAGAAAAAGGCGAGTGCCCTAGTGAATTAGGGCTCTTCGCCGGGGTGACCAACGTGCTGTGATGACCACTAGGAATGATGAGACCACTTTTTGAAGAAGTTGAGACGGCTGTTATCGGCGCCTGCATGCCCTCGAGATTTTGCGGCGAGGCGGATTGGAACAGCCTCGTCCGAGCAGGGTAAACGTTCGCGGGCGCTGGATAACACGCGCTCACGGAGCCAAACTTCGTCTCATCATTCTCGTCCTCTTCGTCGAGAGTCAGGTCGATTGTGACCTTGACCTTTCCTTTAGAGGAGGCCTTGGCAGTCGTATGCTCCATACTATCGCCAGTTTCGATTCCGCTCAAGTTTTCTGCCGTGTGTTTATGGATCGACTTGGATGTCCCTCTCGTCTGCTTTCGGGTCTCGGGAATAACAGGCTGTTGAGCCTCGATGTGGTTGGGAATGGTGGCCGGGTTGTTGTTGTTGCTGGCTTCGTCTTTACTGTTGCCAGCCTCGCCATTCATATCACCGGAATTCTGATCCATCTTGATGCCATTGTCTTGCTTCGAGGGACCGGCCTCAACTGTGTCGATATTCCCTTTTACCGCTTCCACAGCCTTTCCTTTGATAACCGGCCGTATATAGTTACACCCGTCCTCTTCGCCTCGTCTCGAGCACTCTGCGTACTTCTCGGTGTACTCGAAAGGGTTCTTAACCCTCTCAACCAGCTGGCCGATATGGCACTCAGGACATGGCCTCTTGCCCAGTTCGTTTTGTTTCTGTGCCCAAAGAATCTGAGGATCTTCGTTGAAGGCTTCGTAATGTCTGCAAGGAGGACGAGCGGTATATCTAGAACAGCTCAGGCGCCAGAGTCCTGGTTGAAAGGTTGTCGTTCAGCTTGGGACTTGTTGTGTTGTGGAGGAAACGGACTCACCGGCATCAGGGCCTGCTCCTTCTGGGTTGTTTCTCTTTCGTTCCAGAATTCCAATTTTGCATGTTGGGCAAGGACCATATCTAAGCTTACGGCCTTTTGTGGTGCTGGAACGACTGGACTTGGGATTACTACCCTTTGCCCTGGTCACACGGCCACCGACTGTTGTCTGCTTCTGCGGAGCTAGGATGAATGTCAGTCTCACTTTATTCACTAAGAGCATGATAAGGTGAAAAGATTGGCTTGCCCACTTTCTGGCAGCTGAGGAGTCATTATCGCCGTTGGATCTTTGTTGATACAATCTTTCGAGGTGGGACGAGGAAGTGACAGTCTCGCGCTGTTCGGACGTAAAGTTGAGAGTTGCAATTGGCGTTGGATGGGGACGAGAAAACTCTGATCCGCTGTATCGTTCAATCTTGTTGTCTATGCTCTCTTCTCACCGTCCTCTCGCCGTCTTGCCGGTCAAGTAACAAATTCCGAGAAAGAAGCGGGTCTTGATGTTGTCGCCGAGACCAAATTCATCTCTCTAACAGCGGGCTAGTATGTGCCTGATTGAACCACTCCTTCCACAATCGTGCTTTGACGAATTACTGAGTTGTTCGAAATACCGGTATGTTGCCAGGGCCACGCGGGGTCAAAATGAATAAGATGAAAGAGAAAACTGATGTACTACAATAGATGACAGTCAATCACATTGTCACATTATAATCAACGGTCAAGGTGAAAAGTGAATAAGAGAGAATGCCTGAACATCCTGAGATGCAGCGAAATGCTTCCACATCGCCATGTAACTTCTGAAGAAGGTGCACCCCACCCCAGCCTCTCTCTATCTAGAGAAGCCGCTGTGGCTTGAATGGCAGCTGCATGTCTGTCTGCCTTGCTAGTTGTTTCAAGAGCCTATCATATCCTTAAGAGGATCAATAGTGTTAAGCTGCTCCGCATACCGTGGACAAACAAGGCCTTCGAAAAATGGTTACCTAGTCAAGAGCACCAAAAAGTCGACAAGTCGAAAATAACAATCAAAAGGTATGTTCACTATTCTTCAGACCCTTGATATTTTATCGCAATCTCCATTTTCCTGTCTGCGAGTTGCTTTGCAACCCCTCATCCCAACTCGACGAGCAAACCCCTGCATATACATATTCTAGTGTACCTGACCTACCCACCTTAATCCTAAGTGCAATTTTCTGTAGTCATTGGTCCCTCTACAACACCACATCTCACGACCTTTTGCGCAACCACTCTGGCTATGACTATATATGCCACAAGAACCATGCCGATAATGTGTATTGGGTTAGGACTCTCTATCGTACCCGCTACGCCAACCACTGCAGGCCCTTGGACTTTTCCGCATCTTTTTCTCCATGCTATCTATTCAAGGCAACAATCTCTTGGGGGTGCGTGGGTAGTAGGCGGCAAGGTGAACACTGGGAAGGTTGAGATACCACGCAACAACACGATCAAGACCAACTACAGCCGACACGTTAGCAGCCATACCAACAAACATGCTTACCGCCAAAGCAAGCGTAACCGGAGTCAGGAAACTTACTGCCTCCACCAGCGTGGGGTGGCGCTCCGACTTGACGGAACAGGTCAACGTATTCGCGAATGCCCGGGCTCTTAGGGTCGACACCCTTGGTGCGAAGGCGAGCTTCAAGCTCCACAGGATCGTGGATACGCTGACCACCGGACAGAATCTCTTGCCCTCTCATGAACATGTCGTAAGCCAATGTGACCTTGGGATTAGTGGGATCCTCCTTAGCGTAGAAGGGGCGGGCATCAGATGGGAACTTGTCCAACACATAGAAGTCGGTGTTGTACTTCTTCTTGATGAGAGCACCCAGAGCCTTCTCTTGGGGTGTGCTCATATCCTCGAAGTCGCTGACATTTCTGAATTCCTCTGGGCCTTCTTCTCTCAAGAGCTTTTGGCCCTCAGCAAAAGTCAAGCGGACCTCCTTGCCCTCCTCGGGTAAGAGAAACTCCTCCGAGGGATATACCGACCGTACGAGAGCGATCTCATCTGCGCAAGTCTTCTTGATGGTGCGGAAGATGTGAAGGAGTACACCCTCAAGCATGTGCAAAGCTTCCTGGTAATCAGTCACCTCCATTTCCAAATCGAGACCTGTGAACTCGGTCATGTGTCTGGGTGTGTTGCTGTTCTCGGCTCTGAACACGGGCCCAACACAGAAGACACGCTTTCTTCCCGCAAGAACTTCGATCTGCTTGTAAAACTGTGGTGACTGGGCAAGGAAAGCCTCTTTCTCGAAATAAGGCAGGCGGAACACATTGGCACCACCTTCGGAGGCGGCAGCAATGAGGCAGGGAGGCTCAAACTCCTTGAAACCGTGCTCGCGCAGGTAAGAACGGAACAGGTGCTTCACCTCAACGCGGATGTCAGCAATGGCCTGCTGGACATAAGAGCGCTTGTGCATGACAATGTTGTCCAAATGCGTAAGCATCGAGGCGGCCGGAGGACCGGAGACCTCGCCAGAAATGCTCAGCTTCTCAACACCCTCCACAGGCGCTTCCGCGGGGGCCTCTTCATCGCTGAAGTTTGTGACAGCCTTGTTGGCTGTCGAGAGGGTCATGCCCAACATGGCGGGAGCAGAGGAAATGACAAAAAGCTTGGTCAAGTGGAGCTCGTAGTTGGAGACACGACAACTCTTGACGGGCTCAAGAGGCTTCTCGACTGTGGCTTCAACAACCACGAAGGACTCAGGGTTAACTGATCCGATAAACTTGACCATTTGACGGCTCACTGAACCATCAGCGTTCGCCGCAACCACGCCCTGGATCGCCCAGTTGCCGGTTTCTCTCAGCTCAACAAAGGCCTGTGGTCTCGTCAGTATATCGTAATATCAAGAAGATAGAGAAACAAACCATCTTGGCGCCTTGCATTCTCGCATTCTGGAGAAAAGCTCTAAGTTTGACCTTCTTGCCGAGATGCTCATCGTTGAGCGTCTTAAGACTGATCTCGGTGGCATCCTCGGACAGCTTGGTCTCATGAGTCTCTTGGCCATAATTGCCCGTGGCATGGTCCTCAGCAGCAGCAGCGTTGGCCTGAGCAGTAGCAGCAGCTCTCTCAGCAGCCCGCTTGGCTTTCTCGGCCTCTATACACAGTGTTAGGTTAAGATATCTTTGTATATATGGAGAGTTGATCGGTGTGTGATAATCCATACCTTTCTTAGCCTTGGCCTCAGCCTTCTTCAGGGCCTTCTTGGAGGGGCCAGCATCCTCACCAGCAACCTCTGGGGTCTCAGCAGGAGGGGCGGGATTTGGCGTGGGTTCGGCCATTGTGAATAATTGTCCAAAATCTACGAGATGGAGCTGAAGAGGTGACGGTTGCGCGAGGAATTGGGGTCTAAGTAACGAGATCAACGGCCTGCTTATAAGGGTGCAATGGCCGGGTGATTATGACTCGAAATTTGGCCGAACACCTGAGATGACTTTGACCGAGCGGCAAGCAGGTACAGGAAGGCGCCCTGGCTGTCTGGAGTTCCTTGGTGGGGTGATGAGGGGCAGTTGCATCCCCAGAATTTGTTATCTTATCTCGAACCTCATATATAACCCCAACCCTGAGTTGATTGCCACTTTGAATGGCACGGGAAAGTCTTGAGGACGGATGCACGAAATTACGTCGCGTCCCAGCGTGGCCAACGGCGTCCTCTCAGCCGAATTATTCTTCAGCACATCGTGCAGAGTTAGCCTCTATACTTCACTATGGCTTCAAAACGCGATCACAGCACCCTCTCGGCCAGTGACTACGATGATGCGCCGCCCTCCTCTTCTAACAAACGTCGTCGCGGGCAGCCTGCTGCTAAGACCAAGCAGGTCGAAGTGAAAACTGACCCGACATACGGCCAGAGAACCGCTTTCCCGGGCCTAGATGACGATGGCAACGGCCAATTCAGCGACGAAGATCTTGAAACTGAGGAGTGCGGCGATGCGCTCGCCTATTTGAAATCTGTTCGGTAAGCCTCCCTTGATACTTCTTCTCTCTACCATCACCACAATTCAGCCATCGCTAAACAACCCACTATCACCTCAGCCACGTCAAACTGATAACGATGACCACATATGAAATGGTAAGCTAATGGGTAAGTAATCTCACAGACAAGAAGCCAGCCACGTCCCACACATTCTCGTCGCGCCGAAAGCAGGGCCCCAGCTCCCTCCCCATTTGCTATCTACAACAGCAAACAGTCACGATGCAGTCGACCGCAGTCTCTACGATGACGGCGTAGGCGATCCCCGAGGTTACTACCAAGACGGTGCCTACACCGCAGCCCCTGACCCATCACCTACCTCCAGCCAGCAAGAAGCCGGATTGCTGGCCTCAGCCGATGCTGAGGCCGAAAACAAGCGCGCCCTCAGCGAATCTTATTACGCCTCCCTTACCGAACAGTTTCTCTCTCTTCGGGCCCTCCTTCACCAGGAACCACCCCAAGAACTTGTTGATGCCCTCGACAAAGACCATGGTATAGAAGTCGGCGCGTTTGGCCCAAAGTCTTGGACTTTCCGGGTGTGGACCAAACGAATCAGATACACAGACCCGCTCCCGGTTCAAATCGCAGCCTTGGACAGGCAGAGCGTTCTCAAGATTCTTCGTATAATTCTCGGTGGCAAGTTCATCCGCCGTGGTTATGAGCTGCGGGAAAGGACTAGTCGCTGGATTTGGGCTTTGCTTGCTCGTTTGCCTGACCGGGGTGTGCTTGACCACACCGAAGTTGGATGGGTGAGGGATCTAGGAAAAAGAGCTGTGCTCATGATGGTTAGTATCGCTCATATGGCTGCGTTGAGAGAAGAAGTGGACGAAGGCTTGGAGGGCGAGGAGTATGGCGACGAAGAGGACGAGGAGGAAGAAGAGTACCCCGTGGACGAGGACATGGAATCGGAAAGTCATGAGGACGGTTTTGGTGTCACCATACAGGACGAAAAAGGAACCCTCGAGGTACCGCCAGCTAACCCTGTCGAGTCTGCTGAGGAGGCGGAAGATGGCGAAATGGACATGGACCTCGACGAAGGGGAGATCTCAGATGAAGACAACAACAAGGATATCGGTGCTGACATTGCGGCAGCCAAGGCACGCATGCTTGCCCAGCTTGAAGACATCCCAGAGTACGAGCAGGGCGTTCCCGCTGTTCAAGTGGAGAAGGTCTATGCTGACCAAGCGGATGAGCCGGTTTTTGACGAGACGAGAGCCAGAATCAACATGCGGGCGACTTTGAATATGATTTTGACCGTAGCGGGTGAGCTTTATGGGCAAAGGGATTTGCTGGAGTTTCGGGACCCTTTCCCTTCTCTGTAGGTTTGTTAAGAAGGCATGATTTGTGAAGGGCGAGGTGCCCTGTATGTATATTACTCGAGCCCATTCATTGTTCTCATAGTCAGCAAGCCTACTGTTTACATAAATAATCAATCTTTAGTAGTTACATGTCCCATGAGAAGCGGGCAGGTTAAAACTACAAGCTGCCAGGAAGACTGCATAGAAGCAGTTGACTATTCTGGTGAATCTCTCTCTCCAGATATAATGCAGGAAACAATAAACAGCCGCTATGTAAGGAAAGCCTTGGTATACGCATCCATGAATGTCCCCCTTTTAACTTCCGTCAAGAACGCCATGCCCGTAAATGCAAATCGATCGCAATGTCTACCCCTCCCATGTTTTCTTCCCCTAGAAATGTCTCAGCCATTTCCATCTTCCCACTAACAATTACTCCCCCCTCGTCACACAAGCAAACGCAACCTCCCTTGTCTACTCATCACCCATCCCCTCCAAGAAGCTCGCCTCCTCAAAATCATTGCCGTCCACCAGCACCCGAACAGTATTCTCCTGCCCAGCGGCAGCAGCAACAGCACCCTCCCTACCCTTCTTTCCCCTCGGCACAGCCCACCTCCTATTTTCAAACCCCGCCGGCCCAAAACTCCTAGGGCTGACATCCACATCCTCCCACGAGAGCACCATCCCCTCCTCCTGCTCCTCCTCGTCTTCCTCCCCAACAAAGAACCTCTTCTTCGCATTGAGGTTCACCCTCTCCGCCGCCTCCACCGCAGAGGTAGCACTCCCATTGCTGTAAACCGACTCCTGCGATCCCGCCATCTCACAATCGTCCGCTCCAGCACCGTTAGATGGCTGGATCCCGAGCCCACCGACTTTGTGGATGCCGCTAAAAGGGAGGAGCTCCCTGATTCCACCACCACCAGCAGTGCTGACAGGAACTGTAGGGGTTGGGGTGATGGGAGCGGCGTTGTCTTCCCAGAGCTTGAAGGCAGAGTACTGCGCACCGGTCTTGTAGCCTTCCTGGACTGACTTGCGGACGCGCATCCCGACGTTGAGGAGGTTGGTTTGCACTGGGGCAGGGAGGATGGGACCGTTGAGGGGCGTTTTGGTCGATTGGGTGGCGGTGGGGGAACCGGAGGAAGAGGGGGAGAAGAAGGAGGTTATTTGACGTTGGGCAGGGTCGCTGGCGGCGCCGGCAAAGGGGCGCTTGGTTCGAGGGGCGGACATTTTGTGTAGCTTAGGGCCCCAGGGGGAAGGAAAGTTATGCGCTTTGATTGTTTTCCGAAGAGAAATGGTGTGGTTTGGTGGGTGGTTGGTTGCAATTGTCAATGCTCTTTCGAGGTTAAAGTGGGAGCGAGGAGAGCTTGGAGTGCACAAGGAGGATTGATCGGTTGTCGTGGTGATGATGACGAAAATGGAGAGGAGGGGGGAGGCTGGGCTGCTTGCTCATATGCTCGGTGGCGGCCCCAGGGTCCTGCAAATTTACCCAAGCAGGATTGGCGTGGGGTCCGGGGTAACAGAAGAGTGGGTGGACTGCTGCAGAGAGTGGGCAGTCGCGCGCCCGTGTTTCGACGCGTAAATTGAATTTGGGGCACCAAGATTGGCTGCTTCAGTTTGCTTGGCGGTTTGGATTGTGCATGAAGGCTTCTTGTCAAGGCCACCCCTTCCGAATGCCTTCAACTTGATCGAGCAGCTGGATGTAATCGAAAAGATTGACAGGTAGAAAATTTGACAGGCACAGCCGGGCTTTTATTTAGCTTCGATCAAACCCCTCCCGCCTCCTTCTTTGTCAGGGGCCCGGCTCTACGAGTAAAAACCACCACAATTCGTTGCTGGACCCATCTCACTCAGGACCATATATCTTTGTTGGACCGTTGGCAGCCACAGGCAGTCATGCGGGACATGCAGCCGCTAAGCAATCAGCCTTGCTCTCCCATGTAGAGATAGCTCTTGAAACATCTCCGTTGGCCTACAGTTACAGCAAGAGTTGCAAGAGCTTTTTGAAGCAATGGTCTCAAATTGGCCTGTGTCACCGATGAAACATATCCAAATACACATTTCAGGCGGCCATTAGGAACACCACATACGCCTACCCAGTAACGTTATTGCTAGAGTTGGTCACCACTTCAGCACCAGGCGTACGAGGTTCATGATCATAAAACATAACTTTTGCTTCTCTTCATAATAGCAAAGCCGGACGTCGACTATCAACCGCAAACATGAAAAACAGGCTAGCCAGAGTCAAATGCAGACACAGCAGCTAAATCACTGAGGGGACTCGAAAATGCATGATGGAGCCTCTCCTGAATTCATAACAAAGCACAAAGATTCCTCCTCTACCTTGCCTACTGAACCAAGACTTTTGGCGATCCTCGATCTCGCATTCAGCGGCGACTGCCAACCACATCTCACCCGCAAAGGTAGATATTGGTCCGAAGCACGTGTAAAACTGGCTTTGCGCTGATTGATCCCTCCCACGCAGTATAAACCTGCCCGTTACAGCAAAGACAACACGACGTCAGGAAAACGCAGCACACCGCAGGATGAAAGTCGAAGAAGGCGACCAAGACAAAAGATTTCCAGACCCCCTAACGCCTTCCATGGTGCTGCGCGTGGTAGTTGGTGGATGTCCGCAAATGATTTTGATTGACGATCAAGAGTAATGTCTAGACGCCCCGACTGGAAGTAGCCGCAAATACCGAGATGACCCCATTTACCATGCCATTATGCCGAGAAAAGAAAACAGCTAACGAAGCCATCTACTTTCTCCGGAAAGAGCAGCCCTCGGTGAGTCTGGCCTTACCACCGGTAGGCTGGCAGAGGACGGTCGTGCAGCCCTGGCAGATGACGACGGTCTGGGCGTGGGAGAAGACGGTGGTGATGGTGAAGCATCCGGGGCACTTGACGTCCATGAAGAAGGAGCGGGGAGCGGGCACAAGGGTCTGAACGCAGTGTTAGTATCAGCAGCGACGCGACCGAGCAGAACCTCTTGTCGGCAGCGTTGACAGAGATCCTAATCATAGGTTTGGGATGAACCACATACCTTGAGCTTGTGCTTGCGGGCCTCAGCAGCCGGGCTGGGGTTGATGAGATCAACGGCGAGAACCTTGAGAATCCATCCGTCAGCACCACATCATCGATAAGAATCCGTTATCCACTGTTCTGCCCGTCCATGGTCCCGTGGCCAATCGCGATGCCATGATGTGGTGTCGCCCTCCTCCAAAAGATTTCCAGATGTCGATTCCATATCCAAATTTCTCCTCCTTGGCGTTATCGGCGGTGCAAAACCTTCGTCGTTCGGATGCGGGACCATGGTGGACGGGCAGAACCGAGCTCAATCGGGAAAATGGCTAGGTCTTACCATCTTGACTGATTTTTGAGAGTATTACTCTTGATGAATCGGACAACGAGCCTTGGGTGGTGATGAGATCTGGGGTGGTTTGGCGGCAGAATCTACGCTCGTTGTTGGCGGTTGCGGAGGGGATTTTCGAAGGCCCAGCAACTCGAGAGACCAAAGGCAAAATTTGGGTGCGTGAGCGGCAAATCGCAAAATTGGCCTTGGAGTTAGGGCTCGGTCCGTGAGCCAATGAAATGCGCCGTACAGTGCGAGTGGGGCCTGCCTCCAACTCGGCAGGGAGCAAGAGGTCCATGGTGGGGTCCAGGCGACAAAGGCGGGGCGGGTCGTCACTTTGGGTACGTACTCGCTGGAGCTTACCTTGACAAAAGGAGCGATGAATGAAGGCTCCTTGTGAAGCATCAAGGCAGCAACAATACTGTACTGGCGACATTGGGTGACGACAACGGGATACAGGGCTGAAGTCAGAAGCAACATTGACCGCAATCTATCTACAATTCAACAGAAAACCATTCACTAGAAGCACAGCACGAGGGCAACCTCAAATACATCCCTCAAGATGGCAGCTCCAATGGACCAGCGCATCGCCGTTCCCATCGACGACCCCAACGCCGACACAGAATGGTCAGTAATACCTCTTCATCCTCACCCTACAACCAACTAACCCCTATAAGGAATGAAATACTCCGCAAACACAAAATCATCCCCGAAAAGCCACCCTCCCCCACCCCCATGATCCAAGAAGCCATCCTCGAAGCCCGCCGCCTCGCCCACGAAAACCGCCTCGAAGGCAAAGACCTCTCGGACCTCGACTCTCTCGAAGACGAAGAAGACGAAGATTTCCTTGAATCCTACCGCCAGAAACGCCTCCAGGAGCTCTCGGCCCTCTCCAGAAAGTCCATCCACGGCTCTGTCTACCCCCTATCCAAGCCAGACTATCAACGCGACGTAACCGAAGCCTCTAACAACGGCCCCGTCTTCGTCCACCTCGCCTCCTCCCTCTCCACCAACGTCGAGTCCCGCGTTCTGGGCCAACTGTGGCGTCAGGCAGCAGAGGAATACGGTGACACCAAGTTCTGCGAGATGCCCGCTAACCGAGCGATCGAGGGGTACCCAGAGAAGAACTGCCCTACCATCTTGGTTTACAAAAATGGGGATATTGTCAAGCAGATTGTCACGCTTATGACGGTGGGTGGGCCAAGGATGAGCATGCTCGAGTTGGATAACCTATTGGTTGAAGTGGGGGCAGTGAAGGAGAATGACATGCGGGTGTTGAAGCGGAGGAGGGAGGCGGAAGATGCCGAGGAGGAGAGGATTGTCAACAAGGGGATCAAGAGCAGTTCTGATAGGAGGAAACAGGACGATGATGACGATGATTGGGACTGAGCAAAGGAACGCCACATGGACCAGATGTGGTACTACGGCGGCATAATGTTTCCGGGTGAGTCATTCGGTGAGGGCAAGCAACACACGTATCGCATTTCGGCAAGCCGAAAAGGGGAACGGTGTGACTGGCATGTTCGTGTTCTCGTGGTGGCAATACATTGCTGATCAAGCTTTGCCTGGTAGAAACCGTGAAAGCTTAGAGCTTGTTGTCCACGTGTTCATCTGCCTGTCTATAGGCCGGAGCAGCTCATGAGGTTGTATCTGTTTTTTTGCCATCCGGCTTGTCTCAGCGAGGCGCGGTTGCCGGTGGAACAACATGGTAGAGAAAGGCGGCCGGAAGTGCAAAAGCAACCGGCGATCGCCAATGTATACCAAAGTAATAATTCAGGCTGTATGATAGCCATAACTCAAACATTGGCGCCAGTGGGAGTGTAGTGTGAAAGAGCCGGTGGCTGGTGAACGACTACTCCAACATGGTGGCGAATATCGTCATGTCGAAAGTTACTCCACACGCCGGCCCTCAATGACATCAAGTCTTTACATCAAAATAGTCACATGTGAAAGCTCACCAGGGGTAATCATGTTTGAAACTCGTTCAATGGCGTATACACCGTGTACACCTCAACAAGACTGAAGCAAACCCCTAACTTGACGCAACGCTCTGTTCAATTTCGACGCTGCCAGCCTGGCTGTCAAAGCGCAGACCATAGACACACAATTCCACAAATGTTATGCACGGCAAAGACCCCCCTTTCCTCCAATATTACTTCCAGCAAAGAATAAAAGTATTATATTAACCCTCTGGCCCATCCCTAAAACCCAAGAGAAGAACAGCAAAACCCCCTTCGCTCACTGCTTAGACGCGCTTCAAGTCGGGGGATAATCTCATATAATGATGGTATGAATGAACTTCCCTCTCTCTCCCTGCCTGCCTGGAACGCCATAGGTATCATTTGCGCCTTCACTACCCACCCCTATCCTCCCCCACCCTACAACTCCAGATTTGACAAACAGTGGAAACAAGCAAGCAACGCAACACGGAATGAAAGATGGACGCAACGGCGGTGTCATTTAAACAGCCTGTTGAATAGTAGCAAGGCGTTTAGCAGCAGCCTCGGCCGCAAATGCTGCCACAAACGGCGCCGCGACCTCGTTGCCGCAGGCGGATATGTGAATGTGGTTATCGCCGCGGGCGGCGTACCCAAGTATCATGCGGTGAGGGTGGAAAGCGGTTGTCGCGATGGGTGTTAACTTGAGCCCGGCGGTGAAGCTAGTCGATGGTTCCAGACGCGACAGCTCGTGGCCGTCAAAGTCGAAGACCTTGACCAAGTGGGCGGATGTGCCACTGTGAAAAAGAATTAGTAAAAATTCTTCAGATGGTTGTGATATGCAGGAAAAAAAAACCTACACAGCAAACACAGGCAAATGCTCATGAGTGCTTGCCGTCCTGAGCACATCCTTCGTAGCCTGGAACACCTTCAGAGGATTCTCCATGCGAATATCCCATAACCGGACTTTGCCATTCCTGCTCGCCGACAGCAACTCGCGCTGTCCGCCACGCTGCATATGCACTGATCGCACCCACTGCCTGCTGTCATCCTTCCACTTGCGCACCATGCTCTCCTGCGGTCTGTTTCTCGTGTCAAAGACACGAATAGCGCCATCTCCAAACCCAGCAATGAAGATGTTGCCTGTCATCTGATCAGAAGTCAAAGATGTAACACAAGATCCGGAACGGGCTGGGATCTCATGCGAGCACATCTCGTGGCCTGCGTTCCATATCCGGATAACACGCTCGTCTCCTGCCACGAGGACCTGGCCATTGACCTGCTGCCAGTCAAAGACCATGCCTGAGTTGACATTGGACGGCACCATGTGCGTCAAGGCACGCCATGAAGAGGCAAGCTCAACACCTTCATCACTGTCGTAGTTCCGGTAGATGCGAATGACACCATCCGAAGACCCACTCATGAGAAGAGCCTGATCATCTTCATTGATGAACTTCATGTCCGAGATCTTCGACCCCTCAGGGTTGCCATTGGAGAAGTGACTCTTGCGGGTGCCATTCTTCCAATCCCAGACTGTTACCGTATTTCCATCATCTGCAACGGCAACATGGTCCTCGAATTGATGAAACGACATCTTGGCCGGCTGTGCACCATTGTTGATGATACCGATCTGGTTGTTCCACTTGTGGGTTCCCGCCTGTGCTTTCTGGGGCTGTGTCTCTCTAAGAACAGCCTCATTGCGAGATCGACGCCAGAGTCGTTCATTGTACTCGTGACTGCCGGGCTCCTCGGCTTCAGCGAGCTTCATCTGCGGTTCCCGGAAATATTCCGTCGACCAGTCCAAGAATGTGCTCTCCAGGGGAAGCTTGGGCACCTCAGTCAAGCTGCGCTCCCGATACCCTGCGCAAAGCGGTTCGTTCGCAATATGATAATTGGCTGGCGAAGTCGCCTGGTCGTTTTGCTCGGGCGGGGCATTCTCGAGACTAGGTCCTTTGCGGCTTCTATGAGAAAGGGTTCTGGACAGTCCTGGATTTGTGGCCTTTGGCAGTCCTGGAGTTAGGGGAGGGTTTGTGAGTCCCGCCGGCGTGTTCTCTTTGAGTAACGGCCCAAACAGATAGCTCGCCGTTCTCTTGAGAAGCCCAGGGGACGGCATAGGTTGCGCCATAGCAGTGTGTGTGCCAAGCACGCTGCTTCTCTGGCTCATATCACCCCTCGACACTTTTCTAGCGCGTCTGAGGATTTCATCCATGAGACTCTGCGCCTGCGGCCCCACGGGGGAGTGTAGCAGGGCATGATGGACGTAGTCCAGAATAATGGTAGCATCCCTTTGAACTTCAGGGTGCGGGTCGACACTCAGGATGTCGATGTGCTTCCAGCAGGCTGCAAAAATCGAGTCGTGAGCGACACCAAAAGCAATGGGTCTGATGGTGCCATCCACCTCCCGATTTTCCTTTCTGGCGTAATGCAAGCCCATCTTGTGATCCAAGCCGTCCTCCGCTGGTGGGTGGAGCATGTATTCCTTCTCCTCCAACAGTTGCTCATAAGCAGCAACCAAGAACTTGTTTTCGTACCGCAGCACGAACTTGGAGAAGAAAACAAGCAATTCCTTGCGGACAATCGGACTGCCGTCTGTGGCCAGTTCGAGCATGGTCCAAGCGATGCCTTCCTCAATCCTTGCGACTTCATCTGTGAGGTCGGGAATGCCAAGGAAGGTGGTCATGGCATGGGCCATGGCAGCGCGAACCTCGGGGAATGGGTCCTTGATTAAGAATGCTAGCTTGAGGTGAGCGTTCTCACGGATTCCCCGCCATTTGGCTTCTGGAAGATCTCTCCATAACTGGCTAATGCAGAGACACGACCACTGCCGCAATAGCGGGTCTTCGGAATGAGTGACATGGTGCAAGCAGTATTTCATGATGTCGGTCGAATTGCACACAACCTGACCCGGCTTGAAACCCTTGCAAAGCATAGCCAAGATGAAGGCGCACATGGCCTTGTGAGACGTCTGGACAATGGTGCCGTTGACCAGAATCGTCTCTTGGGGCTTCAGAATGTCGGCAAAGTAGTTGTACCCATTATCTTTGATCAAGTCTTGCTGGCATGAGATGTCAACGGCTAGGATGCGCGCCCAGATGAAGACGAGCACCGGTTTGAGATCCTGTGCGACAGACTGGAGCAGTTTCAGGACATAAGGAAAGATGCCGATACTGAGCGCAAGCTGAACGGCCCATGGTCCAAGGTCCAAAAACCTAGTAAGTAGGATCAAGGCTCTAAGTCGGTGTTGCTGGCTTAGTAAAACCTGTAGGACCACCGGGAGTTGTTCGGGTGGCTTTTGGGATTGTGCATCGCCTCGACAGAGGTAAATCTCGAAAGCCGTGAGCTGCTCCGTGAAGAAAGTCGAGTTGACATACTCGTAGGGAGTACCGTCGAGCTCCTTCCTCTCCAGCATTGGGAGCTGGGCCAGAGCCATGTCAACGGCGAGATCCCAACTATCCCAGAGAGGATGTTGACGGGTATCCGGCAGTTCGGGATATGACTGCGGATGACAGCCATACACAGGCATAATGCGCTGCGCCAGGAGAAACGCTCGGAAGAGTGCCGCGACTGGGGATAGCTGGGTCAGAATAGTACTACTCCGGAAAGCGCGATATTGACTTACCAACTAAATCTTGTCTGAAGAACATGCGGAAGAGCTGACGAGGAAGGGTCGTCCACGCAATGGTATCAGTGATAGCTGTGAAGATCCAGTGAAGTTCCCCAAGCGGAGTCCTACGCTCTTGAAGTCGGCCCGATAACTTGCGAGCTCGCTCTGGAGTCAGATTGGTCTTTAATGGATTTTGCAACACAAAAAACCAAAGAGCCATCTCAACTGGCGTGGTGAGACAGCAGGTGAAAAGATCAGCCGGTAGCTGGGGGTTCGTTGGGAGATTTTCCTTTGTGCCGCAGGCAGCTAGGTGGATATATGGCCTGTAGTTCTGCCTTTCGCAATTTGGATCCTTCTGCCTCAGCTCCTTCTCCTCCTCCTCATGTTTGTCCACGAACTTGTGGTAGTTGGTCAGAATGTTGCCCGCCTCTGAACAATCCCAGACGAAAACCGTGGGGGCCTGTAGCCATTGCTGGAGATCGTACAGTGACACAGGAATGTACTGAGTGTAATTTTTGTTGAAAACCCAGATTTCACCAGAAGTCGTCGGCTTGGGAACTCCGTGTCCATTGTAATGAAATAGAATCCGCTCGTCCTTGGCATTCCGCCGGAGAGAAACACAAAACTTCTTCGTCTCTTCAATCGAAGGGTCCAGGTATTGCTTGTACCGGGTCCGGAAAGCGATCGACTCATACTGGGTTTGGAGGGCTTTGCCAATGTTCTCCAGGGCCTTGTTTGTTGGGGGAACAGTTGGATCTTGCCAAGCTTCAAGCTTTGCACCAGGCACGGTTCGCAACTGATCAGGAGGCTCAACCCCTATATTGAGACATACTGCAATGGCTGCGGACACCGTCTTGAGACGATCACGCATTCGCCAATCCTGGATCTCGAAAGCGGGTGTTTTGGGCTTGCCGGTTGTCTCATGTCGTTTATCAGTAAAATACATGTACCAGCTCTGAAGCCAGTGTTAGTCAATGCCTCTACGTTGTCCATATAGGTTGCTTGATGTTGGAGCTGAGACAAAAATAAAAACAGACAATAGGGGGTAGCATATGATATAGCACATAGACGCCAAAGTCAATACATGAGCTACTGTCCCCGAAGAGCGCACTACTGGCCCACCGTCGCAAGACTAACGACATAGAATGGAACGGACAGGAAGCCAATGGCTTGAAAGAAAAGAAATAAAACTTACATTGGCGAGTTGGGATATTATGGCCTTTGATTGATAGTGGTCCTCGAAACCATGCCTCGCACCCCACTCGTGAATGTCCTCTTCCACAACAGTCTCGGCGTCCTCCATCCGGATTCCATGCTCGCTCTTGGACCGCAGTAATGGGGGTTTTACTGGTCTGGAAACAACGCCATTCGTCTCAAGCTCGTCTTCGTCATCGGTATGTTGACAGTTGACATGCTTGTCTCCCGGAGCACTCGAGGGCCGTCGAGCAGCAGAGGTTGGTGAAATGGATCTATGCCGACCATTTGTCGTTGGGTGGGCAGACCTTAAAGCGGAATTTCCAGGGGACTCGGAATGACCGAAACCATCGCCTTCGTTCCGCAAAGAAGAATATCCGGCAGCTTGCGCGCGCGGTTGCGCCTGTGCCATGAGTTGAGCGTTCTGTCGGGAGAGCGAACTCGGGGCTGTGCTTGAACCGGTAGCAGCTGCTTGTCCTTGCTGTCTGACGGGTGCGGGGCCATTAAAGCCGGCGGTGTTGTTAACCCTCGAGATCTGGGCTGCGTGTTGCCGATGACCCTCGGCAGGCTGGGGAGGAGTCGAAAGAGAAAGGGCCGTCATGGTCGATATCTTTACCGGCGGCGGGCCACCATCGTTCTCGAAGGTAGCTGTCGGTAAAGGTTGAAAAGGTCGGAGTTGAAAGAAGTAGGTGGGCGAACCACAGCGCTGGGGTGGCTGTTATGTGGTGGTGGTGAGTTGGATGGAGATCGGGGCCGGTGATGGGGCTGCAATGGCGACGTCAACGCGGATCATGAACCTGCGCTTATGCCCACGCCTCTGCCACTGTGTGCGACTGCGACAGGTTTGCAATGATCAGCTCTCAGCTCATATGCGCTGGCCGTTTGGATTCGAGCTCTCGCAAACTCACAAGCACAATGCACTGTCTGGCTACTCGGTCTTGTCTTCTTCAGCCTCAACAGCCAGGCCGTTGTTATGTCTTGGTTTGAGGTCAACAGCTCAGTGACAATGCAGAGGTGGACAACATCCGCAGTCGATAGCCGCGGGCAGCTTCTTGGCTCCGTAGGTGGGCTTGCAGCCAGAACCTCACCGCCCAAAGTGGAGCCGGAGTTCACTAATGTTGGCTGGTGCACGGTCCCTCCGCAGCAGGTGTTCAATTTCTCGTCAGCCTCGTCCAATGGCTGCAGCTGCGATTACATACAACAGCTTCTGCTTGCACGTGACGCTTCTTGAGAGCACTGATGGAAAGAGCAAGCAAATTGCTGCTTTCTAAATGATCTGATTGGCTTTCGTGTACTCTCTTCTCCTCGTGGATACTGTGAGAGGTTTACACAGTTGCTCTTATCACTCACTTCCTCGAGGCTCTGTTTACCTAATGATTGTCTTACATTCGATGACTCGCCTCTTTGTTCCTTCCCTTTGCCTACCTATGGTAAGTGTCCATCTATATTTCTCTCCTACCTAGGGGAGGCCTTCCTATCCTTTGTTGTCTTGTTGTTTATGGGACTTGTTTGTGCAGCAGTTACCTTTTCTGTTGTGTTGTCATTCCCTCTGAGCATTCTCTTACGCAGCGTACATTTACACTTGAACGGTTATGTGTCGTCTCCTTTTCAAGAAGATTTACACAACTTGCAAACTCTTCTACAAAATATCAACCGACCTAACAATTTTCTCCCGAGATCATTGCTTACTCATGGTGCTCATGTGGTGGTTCTGTGCCCCTGATGTGCACCAAAGAACGGAAAGCTTGGAGAAACATGAAACATCATCCATAACCTGGAAGCTGGGGTCCGAAATAGGACGAATGCAACGCTAGGACGCATGGACACGGAGCGAGCAACAAGACTGAATATGAAATCTTGCGAGATTTTGTTGATGATCGCAGCTTCATGCGTGCGAGACATTTTTCAAGGAGATGATGCACGTCGTGTCTTCCGTAGGGGCTCCCTCTTTCTTTTTGTCGGAAATACCCGGCTGGTGGTATAGGAGGCCCTCGAAGTGCTCCCATAATATGAGATATAGGGTAACATGCGTGCTACGGAGTACCTGCCTGTAGGAAGAGTTTGAGACTTCACTAGTGGACATGTATGATGATTTGCAGCAAGAGGGGCACTTCTGCATGTGCTGACCCAACCTCCACAGCAAAAGGTCGACTCTGGTATCATCTTGCCTTGGGTAATTCTGTTGGTTACACGGTAGAGCTTCAAGGGCCAAAGGAAGAGACTCCGACACCCCGCGATCTTCACCTTTAGCCTATCCTCACCAGCTCATGGTTGATATTCGAGATGTGTATTTGTGCCATTTTCTTCAGTTTACATGAGACTGGATCCCGGACGAAAGAGGCGGACGAACAAAAGATCAACATCAGTTTCGCCGGCAAATATTAATAGAATCGGCTGACAGTGCCTCTCGTCTGCTTTGCTGTGCCGGTTGGTGCTGATCGAAGGGTGCACCCGGACCACAGAATTGCATCCCAACAACGTCGTCTTTCTGGAAAAGGCCACGAGCAGCTTGAACAGAGGGTGAGCGTGAGCCCCTGAGGACTGGCTCAGGGAGTCCCAAGGGGGTGACGGGGATTGAGCAACAGGCCCGGATTGGCTGGTCTGGGAGCGAGGCGGGAGTGCCTGTATCGTTCCATCCACTCAGAGACCGTCTTTGTGCTCCAGGTCTCCGCCGAGCGTCCCCGGCCGCTAGCGTAGGCGATGTCCTGCGCCAGGCGCTGATGAATTCTCACCTGCCCACGGGCATAGAACTCCTGGACACCGGACCTGCAGTTCTCTTCTCGCCAGGCTTGACCCGGTCGCATTAAACTTTATCTCCTCCACCTCTGTCATCCACAGACAAACCGAATCCACGGTCACGGAAAGCATCCTTCGCATATCGGGCACAGCATCTCTTTTTCTGCTTGTCTTTCTTTTTGCTCCGTTGTAGTTATCATCGCATTCGCCTGTTCAAGCGTGCACCTCCGAGGCGCTGCTCTTTCGTCCTGCTAGGTGCTGGGGGCACTTTGCTGGGCTGACCAGGGACCCCCTCAAAAAATAAAAAAAAAGACAGGAGGTTGAACCTGAATCTGTCCCGTCCAAAAACCGAACCCGCTGCGCCCGCTCCACCACGGCGAGCGAACCGATGCTTTCCCAGCCTTCTCGAGACACGACCGCCGACGACATTCCCGACTCCCGCACCTCTCCTCGTTGGAGCCCACGCTGCCCACCCAGCTAACTCCGCAGTCGTCCGCGTCCACCAGCTCCGTTCGCCCTCTCCCACCTGCAGGCTCCCGTCCGTAGCGGTCCCTGATCAATTTGCCCGGTCAATTGACGACGTGTGCCTACGCCTGCTCCTGGCGACACTGTAGTCCGGCCAGCAGTTCTACGGTGCCATTATGGCCTTCCTCTTCAAGTCCAAGAAGAGTCACGACCGGTCGCTTGCCAGTCGGGATGGATCACAGGGCTCGGCGTCGGGCATGGGTGGCGCGGCGGCGCGCGTCAGAGATGAGAAGGGGTCACGATCAACACCCACTGGCAGCTTAACCTCCCTCGATGTCGACGGCAGCATTGGTAGTCCTGATCAATCTTATGCTCGCCAGCGAGGCCAGAGTCTGGACCAGCAACAACCGACACCTCCTCAGCTGCAGCAACCGCCATCGAGTGACTTACCGGTAAGCTTCCATCTCAAGCGACGTCGCAATGTGCATCAGCATCTTGTCTAACGTTGGCCATCGCAGCTGCGCAACGGTCCTCCTCCTACACAAACGGCGCCGAATCCCAATGCCTCGCTATACCCATGGTCTCAGCGCCGACTAACCTACACGTCCTCGCATCCCAGCCCGTTCCCAAGATATGGCGCCGCTGTCAATGCCGTCTCCTCGAAAGAGGGTGACATATACGTAATGGGCGGTTTGATCAACAGCTCGACAGTGAAGGGCGATCTGTGGCTCATTGAGGCCGGGGGAAACATGTCTTGCTACCCACTAGCTACAACAGCTGAGGGCCCAGGGCCTAGAGTCGGACATGCCAGTTTGCTCGTAGGGAACGCTTTCATCGTCTTTGGTGGAGACACCAAGATCGAAGAAACAGATGTTCTCGATGAGACCTTGTATCTTCTCAACACATGTGAGGCTTGCAGCTCCACCAGGTTGGCTCTATCATGCTGACAGTTTTACAGCAACGAGACAGTGGTCGAGAGCTTTGCCAGCCGGATCACGACCCAGCGGACGTTATGGACACTCGCTGAATATTCTGGGGTCAAAGATTTACATCTTCGGTGGTCAAGTGGAGGGTTATTTCATGAATGACCTTGCCGCTTTTGACCTGAATCAGCTGCAGATGCCCAATAACCGCTGGGAGATGCTCATATCATCAACTGAGAGTGGTGGACCGCAGGGCAAAATCCCGCCAGCCAGAACGAACCATTCCGTGGTAACATTCAACGACAAACTTTACTTGTAAGTTTTGATGCGGGGAGACGTAATATTCTTCATGCTAAGATTGGTTAGGTTTGGTGGTACCAATGGATACCAATGGTTCAACGACGTCTGGGCATATGATCCCGCTGTCAACACTTGGTCGCAACTAGACTGTATAGGGTACATTCCGTCTCCCAGAGAAGGCCACGCTGCTGCTATCGTCGAGGATGTCATGTACATCTTCGGCGGCAGGACGGAGGAGGGTGCGGATCTGGGTGATCTTGCCGCATTCAGGATCACTTCTCGCCGCTGGTACACTTTCCAGAACATGGGCCCATCCCCCTCGCCGCGGTCCGGACATAGCATGACAGCAGTTGGAAAGTCCATCATTGTGGTCGGAGGAGAACCAAGCTCGGCTCAGACAGCAGTCAACGATCTCGCGCTTGTTTACTGCTTGGATACCACAAAGATTCGCTATCCCAACGACGCAGGCCCTAGCCAGACTTCACCTAGAAATCAACAACGACGACCTAGCGATGCCACTCCACAAATCACCCTGAGGAATGTGTCTCCACGTGATGGTTCGAACGGCCCGCCCGATAGTCGACGCCCACCAGGAGGTCCTGGTCCCAATGGATATCGGTCACCTAATGGCCCTGCTGAAGTGAGCCCGGCGGGAGGACCACCAAGCGGTCCTCAAAAAGCTCGATCCGCGGGTCCTATGAGCCCAGGGGGTCCATCTGGTGCCCCTCCATCTGGACCACCTCCCCAAATTCAACCGCCAAAACCTGGCCCTCCAGGTGGAGCACCCCGGCCTGCCAGGAATGCCTCAACGGAGCGAGGCGACCAGCCCCAGGGCTCCCCAATCACATCGGCACCGCCGCAACAGGTTGCGGCGTTGAAAGAAGGCGAAGGACTTGGCGCAACTGGCCGGCGCACTCCGACAAGTCAGAATCCTAACCCGCCCCGCTCTTCTTCAAGACAAGCTGAGGGACAGCCTGCCGATGCCGCGAGATCCAAAGCAACGAGACAAGGACGCGGGCAAGGCTCCGTAGATAGTACAACGGAGCCAGCTCTCAAGCCAGCTCCGGCTCGCCCAGCGTCCCCACCACCGCCTACCCGACAACCCAGCAATCCTATATCTCGAAGGTCTTCCGCCCGGAACTCTCAAACGGTTACACTTCTAAAAGAGCTGGATGCCGCAAGGAACCGCAACGCATGGTACGCCTCCGAACTGGAGTTAGCGCGCAAGGCTGGCTATTCACCCAATGCGTCACTGAGCCCAATCTTGGACAGCCGTGCCGCGGAAACATTTGATGATGAAGACAAACCCTTGATCGAAGCTCTCCTTGCTATGCGGCAAGAGCTTGCCAACGTACAAGCCTCGGTCGACAAGCAGGCAGTTCTGGCTGCCCGACAAATTGCTGAAGCAGAGAAGCAGCGAGACGCAGCCATTCAGGAAGCCATTTATGCCAAAGCGAAACTAGCTGCGAGGGGTGGAAGCGCCAGAAGCACACCACAGCTCGATGACAAGGAAGTAGGAGATCGTGCCAATGAGATGAGCAAGAAGCTCGCACATGCTCTCAGTGTACAAAAAGAGCTTCAAGATCAGCTGGAGCGCATCAAGACCGACTTTGACGCCGAGAAGAAGGCGCGCAAACTGGCAGACGACACGGCAAATGCGGCGCAAAAGCGAATGGCAGATCTCGAGAGTTATAAGCAGCAAAACGCATCCGAAGTCGAACGGCTCAAGGCTGAGTTGCATATGGCTCAGCGTGAGGCCCGGGAACAGTCTGTTGCGGCAGCGGAAGCGGTGGCGGCTACACAAATGCTACGTGTTGAGAAGGAAGAATATGAGCAGAAGTATAATCACCTTGTTGGAAACAATAAGGACCAGGTCGACACCTTTGAGACTTTCCGTGGCGCGCTCGCAGCTTCTGAGGAGACCAAGGCTTTGCTTGAACGGAAGCTGGAGGAGGAACGCGCGCTCAAGGAGAAGATCGAATCGAAGCTCAGCAAACTGAAAGCCGAGCATGAGACTCGTACAGCTGAACTTGTTTCAGCAACACAACGCTTACGAGATGCCGAAGAGCTGGCCGAGAAACATGCCAGTGAGGCAAAGCTGCAGCGCCAGGCTTTGTTGTCAGGCCTCGACAAGATGTCTGCCAAAGATGTTTCAAAATCGGACAAGGCTGATCATGACCGCATCCTTGCTCTGCAGGGTCAACTTAACGCTGCCAACGCGCTGGTAAGGAAGTATCAACAGGAGGCGGACAGTGCGGCAGACAAGCTTCGGGGAGCCGAGGAACGAATTGCAGGGCTGGAGGCATACCAAGAACAGGCAAGCAGAGAGGGTGTTTCCATCCGCCGACAGCTCCAGGGAGCTTTGAGGGAGACCCAGAGTCTTCAAGCCGCAAACTCGGAGTTGAAGCAGCAATTGTCGAAGCAGCAGCTTGAGACAAATGCGGTCGTCGTCCAACACAACACACTCAAGGACATCCTTGTCGAGCGAGGCATCTCACCTTCCTCCGCGACCCGTGCGCGTAATAGTCCGCGCGGCAGTCCTCGGGAAGCTTCGCCTGAGCGGGCCCGTGTTCGTGAGTTGGAGCAGCAACTTGCAACTGCCCAAAATGCCCTTGAAGAGACAAAAGCACAGGCAACCGAGAAGCTCGTACAGCTTGAAAACGACTACCAGTCTGCCGTACAATACGTCAAGGGGACCGAGAAGATGCTCAAGCAACTCAAGGATCAGCTGACACGCTACAAGACTGAGAATGGCCGTCTGAAGGAACAGGTGGTGGAATTGGAGGACAAGCTTGAGGCTGGAGGTGGTGCTTCCAAGAGCGGCCCCACAGACTGGGAATCTGAGAAGGAGACCTTGTCGGCCGAGATTGGAAGATTACAAGCTGAGCTCAAGAACACGGCGAGCCAGCTCGAGAAGCAAGTTCAGTCCATCCGTCAAGACCTGGCAGAAGTTCAGAAGGAACGAGATGTAGCCGTCAAGACCAGCGAGGACGCGAACCGACGCCTTGAGGCCCATAAGAAGGACCTGGAGCAGCTGCAGCAGGAGAATATCCTCCTCGAACGCCGAGCCCAGGATGCCGAAAACAAGGTTAGCACACTTCTTGATCAGGTGGAGCTGAGCGTCGACAACTACCGCCGACGAAGCAGACAGGCCCCCAGCCTCAACTCCGAGACTATTGGATCCAACGCCGCCTCCGGACCCGGCGGTACCAACGGAGGAAGCAGCAGTGCTGGCCTGGGTCATAACAGGCAAGAATCGGGCGGCTCTGAGAGCCTGTACGGTGGCGTGCCCGGTGAACGTGAGGTTAACAGCGTCGGCGGTGTCGGCGAGCGAAACAGCAAAGCGCTGGACAGCCTCGCCCACGAACTCGACAACTTGCGCAACCAGTGGGAAGCGACTAACAAGCAATACCGACTGAGCACAACGCAGTATGAATATGAGACCAACCCCATCTCTCCGGGTGGAAAGCCAACCAGCACTGGGCTGAGCGAGAGTTTGGCCGACTGGAGGAAACGACTTGACGAGAGCCACCCCGGTAGCCCTGGCGAGGCGAGATGAATTGATGGATGGATAGATGAAAAAGGAAGGAGAAAAACCTGGTTTGTTTTTTTCTTCTTCAAGGAAACACGAAGCATGCATGGCATGAATTCACATTGGGCAATGTTCATCTACGCACCTACACACGACCATGTACACAACCACGCATACCACACCACACCAAACCGTCTCTCTTTTGACACAACGGGGGGGGCGTGTAATACCTTTATTTTTGGCTTTAGAAGTGTTGGGGTGGAAGGAGGGAGGACAGGGCCAAGGATTATTCGGGTTGATATTTTTTATTATCTTTTTTGGCTTTTTTCTGTTTCCCCATTCTCTCTAATCTCCTTTCTCCTTTCGATGGTAGGGGTTCGGCTATACATTACACGCCCACCTTTTCTACAATGGGGAAACCTTTTTTCTTTTCCTGTCATCTTGACCTCATTTGCTGTTGTTGTTGCTGCTGGTGCTGCTGTAGTTGTGGCTTGAATGTTTTTTTTGTTTTGGCATAACGTTTGCTGCTTGCTGCTTATTGTTGTTGAGAGGGTTTTGATATGGGGAGAGCGAGTTATGGCACGCACACACAGAGCTTTATGTATGGCACGGCGCGCGCGCGAAATTAAAATAATACATGCTGTCTTTTTTTTATTGTTGTTCAATTACTACTCCTGATAGTCTGCAAGGCGATGTGAAGGATCAGAAAGTGGAAAGAGAGCAATAGCTGTATGAGGAGAAAAACTGCAAGAGGAATTTTGAACTAAGAGTTGGTTTTGCTAGCTGGATTAGTTTGTGTTTGAATATATGGAAGGGGAAAGGGATTGGGGAAGGGTGGGGGGGTTATGGGGGGTGAATCGGGTGAGGTGCTGAGGAAGATGAGAGGTAGAAATGGAAGGAAAAAAAGGTGAGGGGGAGGGATATCGGGGTGTTTATATAGACTTTTCTATCATCGTTGTTGGTCTCGGGAGAAAGCGTTGGCTTGCGTGTTGGCTGCATATAGAGAGTAGTTTGTAATTGGACGGTGAGATAGGTGTTGGTTTGAAAACCTGAATGATGATTATTATATCTGGATGTTCCTCACCTTTGCATTTTTGAGGCAAAAGACTTGCTTTACGTCGAGTGGTGAGATCAGCGCTGTGACATGTTGGTCTGTCATGAGAGTTCGATGGATGAGCACCTGAAGTGTCTTGTGAGAGACTCATCCATAAACTAAACAAGGTTAGCCTTTTAGGCAAGAGTACTCTGACTTCAATCACATGTGAGTATGAAGGTGGGTGTCAGTCTAGAAGAAGCACAGCTGGTGCTCGGGTATGGTAGGCACTCAGCAAAGATAACTCGTAAACTGACAGATGTGCTCTTTGGCCGCACTCTTGACATGTCGTCTACCAAAGCTGCCGCGAAAGCTAGTCACGCAAGTCTATTCATAAGCCTCGTACCCATTCATTGCTAACCTCACAAGAACACCGATCCCCAACCTACGCTACCAATCCCATCCTCCCAAACCCCCTCCCCATCCCACCACCCCCTACGCTTGATCAATTCCCAGCAAACAAATTAACATAAACCCCCCACCCAACCCCCGCCAACCCCCCAACCAAATTCCTCATCTCCACGCTCTTCAAAAACGTAAAGTTCACCAAACTGATCACCGGCCAAAACTTCCACCCCGCCTTGACAATCCCCCAAAACTCACCCCTTGTCCTCTCCCACACAACCCCCCAGTTCACATCTTGAGCCCTCACCACGCCCTTTTCCCCAAACAGAAACCCCAGGCTCGTCTGTGCCTCTAGTTCGTGATGTGCCATGCCCATTTGAATCCCGTTCATAAACATCGAGTACAAAAACGTGTTCACCGCCGCGCCGACCGTCTGATCCAGCAGGGTCTTAATGGCGGTGTTCCGCCTGTTCAGCTTTGGCTCGACAAGTTTCCCTTCCTTCTCCTCGGCGTCGAGTTCTGCTTCTGAACCCTTTGACGCGGAGGCGATGGCTTCCGGGGTGGGGGAGGGGTGGTAAGAAGGGAAGGTGGACTCGAGGTATTCCTGCCAGAGGATGTTGGGGGGGGTGTTGACCAGGCCGAAGAGGACGTATTGGAAGAGGGAGAGGAGGTTGATTGTGATTGGTTTCTGTGGTGGGGGGTGTTAGTGATATGAATGAGCGGTAATAGGGGAGGTGAATGAGGTACGTTATCTCTCTGAGCGGCAATGACCTGGGCTATGATGTTGGATAGGGAGCCGATCACGGCGGCTTGTATGAGCGCGAATTGCATAGGTGAGAGCGCCATGGTGGCCAGTGGTAATGCCAGCTCTACCGGCGGGCTGGGAAAGTAACGACGACTTTTGAATTCCAGTGAAATCAATCGTGACACAGACAACACAAAAATGAGACCGAAAAGAAAAAAAGAGGAAACGAGATTCTTATGAAGACCAGCCGCCCGTTTGTCTTGTTTAAGTCCTGACGTTGAGAGAGCCCAAGAGGCACCAATCGCCCCACTTCCCAGCCATGTGGTTGTGCAGCGCGATCGGTGTCAACTCCCCTCCCACACATGCCCTTGAGGCGTGGCCTGAAAGGACCGCGGGCAAAAGAGCCCAGTCCCGCGCCCGGAATCTCGCACACAGCAGATGTGTGCAAACAACGCACCTTGCCGGTTTCTCTGCCCCTGACGGAATCAAACTAGAACCTATCCGCGGGCAAGCAAAGACCAAATTAATGTTTATATGGTTACCAGCTCCGTGTGACTACGAGTTCCGGGTAATGGCTGTCTAGATAAACCTCCCCGACTGGGCAGACGTTGCATCTCTCGGCTGAGGCCATAAAACATTACTTCTCATTTCGTCCTAAATATATGGTTGAATGTTATACAATACGCTTCGTTCCGTCCAAACCGACCGGATCACCAGTATGCCCCATTGATGCGCCTATAAAGCTGCGCCGCCATCCAGATGATAAGTTGCACAGGTCCTATGGCCTGCAGAGAATCCACATGAGGAGAGCCTGCACAGGATACGAATACGCAAACAAAAACTGGGTTCGCTGGCTTCTCTTCGCCCGCGAGTCGAGGGGGTGCATGGTCTGCATGGGGCCTTGGTTGGTGTTGTTGTTTTCTGGCAGAAGGACGTACTTGAGAGAGCGCATCTAATACACATGGTTAGCTGGCGTCGTTTGGATCAACAGAAGAGCTGGGCAATCGGAACGTACCAGGAACAACGAGTTAGCCAAGCATGTGTAGACAAACAAAGTCCAGCCCACCCAGCCGCCGGTACCCTTGCCCCCATTGAAGATCTCCGACACCGCAATCGTCACAATAACTCCCACGAACTTGTAGCCGCTGTAGGCCATAAGATCCAGCAGCTGCGACTGGTTGGAGATATTCAGGAGATAGCACCCTATTCTAAGGGCCAAAATTTCCAGAATCATCATCACGATCGCGATCGTAGCGACGCTGCCGAACAGCTGGGGTTCGAACTCGCCTCGAAAGCCGGCAAAAAGAGTTCGTAGAAAGACGTATGTGACGATTGACATGACCGGGATGTACATGTCGGGACTGTTGATGTCGTCTCGAGGGGGGAGGTAGAACCATGCTTCCTGGCCGCCGCCAGCACCAACTTCGGATGCCTGGCGACGCGTCCATGGCTTGTGTCGCCATGGAAAGAGGACCAAAAAGAGCTTGTTGATAACGTACGAGTTCGTCACGTTGAAATAGTGCTTCAGTGCCGAGACGTTGACCAGGCGATTGACCTGTCCAGATCACTGTTAGTCTAATGTTTACTCCTAATTAAGCAAATGTCATCCAACATTTTTCTCTAGATAGTCCTGGCCCTGCCGGAATGCTGTCTGGCCAAACTGCGTAGCTATTTGCGCAGTTGGGTCATTCATGAAGTTGCCATATTGCGCAAACATGTTACCGCCCGGCGGCGCTTGCTGCTGTTGCTGCGGATAAGGACTCCCATCGTACCCGTGGCCTTGGGCTTGCGATGTTAGCGGAGGAGGTGATCGAAGTTGGGGGACGGTCGAGACGTGTTGCGGGACTGGGTGGTGTAGCGGAGGCGATTGCCCATACGTCGGTCGCTGCATTCTGGCGGTTGTAACGAAAGGAGCTTATATATAGAGCGGTTAATTGCCAATGTCTTCGAGTCGAGAATATGATGGATTCAGCGCCTGAAATGGGATGTGCTCGGTGTGGTGTCACTGCGTGGATAGTCGTCGTCGGTTGGCTTCGGAGGCCGCGAGTCGGTCTGTTTTTGGACATGTGTTTTAAACAATTTCTCGATGTTGTCATCTCCCCTGAGCCACAAGCTTGTCGCGCCAGCGGGCGCCGGCTAATCCCCGGTCAGCGACACAGAGGCCCATTGCGCCAATGATAGGCCCCCTTGTTATCGATAATAGCGGGGACCTGGGACCATGATGGCAACTGACAGCGTTACAGTCCGCCGTTAACGGGACGGGAGCTTTCTCATTGCGACAGCGCTCCCAGAACATAGCATCCTATTCCAACGTGCAGCTTACATTTTTAACCAGCAGCACCACCAAGGACGACATCTCGCCATGCTGGACACTTTCGAAATTCTGACCACGTCCGGAGTGGTCCTCTGGTCAAGGACTTACGCCGCTGTCAGCCCATCCGTGGTCAACAACTTCATCAATGACATCTTTATTGAGGAGAAGAGTTCAGTTGCCGGCGCAAAGAACGGCGCTTCTGCCGCTGAGAACCCTCCGTACAAACATGACCAACACACTTTGCGCTGGACCTTCGAAAAGGAATTGGGCATCATTTTCGTGGTCGGTAGTACCTTGAGGGGCAACCTTTTCTACCCCTGAATTCAGCTGACCCTTTTGTTTGCTAGGCCGTGTACCGTTCTCTGCTTCACATCTCCTGGATCGATCAACTGGTCGACAACATCAGGGCTATCTTCGTTGGCCTCTACCGTGACGAGTTGACCAAGCCGAATACCACCATCGTCGAGTGCCTCACGTTTGACCAGTATTTTGACCAACAACTTCGAGAGCTTGAACAGGCCGGTGGCAAATCGGACACGCGCGCACTGAAAAGTGAAGTGTTATCCGAAGATACGGGCGATGAGCCTCCCTCCCCACCAAACAACCGCGGCCAACAAGCCCTCCGCGGGGTATCACCAGGCTCAAGTCCAAATGTTTCGCGCCCAGGTACCCCCAGCGCAAGCCATCTGCTGGTCGCCAAGGCTGGACCGGGGGCGAAATTGTCCAGAAGAGCGAGAAAAATGCAGAATACCACCTCAGCTCCAGCATCGTCTGGTGACGAAGGCCCGGCCAGGAAGGCCAAGGCCAAGCCAGTGAAGCGCGGGAGGAAATGGGATGCCGATGGGCTTGCTGATGAAGACGATGGTGTTCAGCTTGACTACTCGGTTCCCACCCTCACCAGTGATAGTGAAGCTGAGCCCGGTGCGAGACCAGGGGCCGTAGAAGAGGTGGACGCGTCGACATGGGGTTCCCAGACCAAGGGGAAGTTTGTCCTGAGAGACTTGGGCGATGAAGTCAACTCGATTCTGGCTGATGCCGATGCGAAGAAGAATGCTGCTACCAAGACCGACGCGCCTAGTGGTCTCGTAGGTACTGGTCTCAGTGCTATCGGAGGGTTGTTCAGGAACGTGGTGGGTGGAAAGGTTTTGACAAAGCAAGACCTGGATAAGGCGATGAAGGGAATGGAGGAGCATTTGCTCAAAAAGAACGTTGCGCGCGAGGCGGCGATACGTCTTTGCGAGGGTGTTGAGAAAGAACTGGTGGGGGTGAAAACTGGCAGCTTTGAAAGTGTGTTGTGCCATCCTTCAACCCCATCATGTCAGACCATGCTAACCTCGGTACAGGTATCAACGCAAGGATACAGAAAGCTATGGAGGCTTCCCTGACGAAAATGCTTACACCAACATCATCACTCGATCTCTTGAGAGAAATCGACGCGATTACCTCGCCTTCTGCGACATCGCTCCGCAAGGCCCGGCCATACGTCATGTCTATCGTCGGTGTCAACGGCGTAGGCAAGTCGACAAATCTCTCCAAAATATGCTTCTTTTTGTTGCAGAACAAGTACAAGGTTCTCATTGCTGCCGGTGACACGTTCCGTTCCGGTGCCGTTGAACAGCTCGCTGTCCACGTGCGCAACCTGAAAGAATTGACTGCCCGTGAAGGTGGCCAAGTTGAGCTGTACCAGAAGGGCTATGGCAAGGATGCCGCTACTGTGGCCAAGGATGCCGTCGCGTATGCGGCACAAGAGGGATTCAACGTGGTTCTCATCGATACCGCGGGGCGTAGACACAACGACCAAAGATTGATGAGCTCCCTGGAGAAGTTCGCCAAGTTTGCGCAACCAGACAAGATTTTGATGGTTGGCGAGGTACGTTTCCTTTTCTAGATGCTATTGATCTTATCACAGATGCTGACTCGGTCTATAGGCACTTGTCGGCACAGACTCCGTTGCTCAGGCCCGGAACTTCAATGCGGCTTTTGGATCTGGTCGTTCCTTGGACGGGTTCATCATCTCGAAATGCGACACCGTCGGAGACATGGTCGGGACTTTGGTCAGCATCGTACATGCCACCAATGTTCCGGTTCTGTTCGTCGGCGTTGGCCAACACTACTCTGATTTGAGGAACTTCTCAGTCAAGTGGGCTGTTGAGAAGTTGTTGAGCAGTGCATGATTCCAGGTTACCAACAGCCTTGAAGACGTAGTTTAGTTGGATTATCGATACATAGACATTAATTGCTGTAATACTTGACCTTTGATATCTGTGAAAACATGGAAACTGAGGCTGATTTAGGGGTAAAAGAAGTCGAAAGCAAATTCTCATTAGGGTTAGGGTTCCAAGGAGTTGTTGCTACCTGCTCTCTCAAGTGAAAGTCAATTAAAGAGCTGTCACGTGTCCACGCGGTGCCACGCCTTTGGACCCCCCGCGACGACCGCGTTCACTTTCAACTAAGCTACCTGAACACCAAAACACCAGGGTCCCGCCTCAAGTCACTCGCTTTCGGTCTGATCACGACCACGCCATGCCGAGGCAATATGACACCCGACTCGCGCAGCAGGACTGCCCGGTCCACACAGCATGGATTTAGCAACAATACGCTCCCCCATGGAGCACCCCCTCCATCGACCCTCGCTGCCCAGATCGTAGAGAACATCTCGTCGACATCGCGAAATTCGCACTTGAGCGACGCTTCGACCGAAGAACTGAAGCATCTTCAGAGTCTCGTGGAAAATTACAACGCCAAATCCGAAGACATCAAGACACCAGCAGAGCAAGTCGAGTACAATCATCTACTGGTGTATATGATCGGATCTGTCTCTCTCAAAGTCCTTTACTGGGACGACCCATTTTCAACCCAAGAGAAACTACACGAAGGCGCCATTGCAGCTTTCGGCTTCCTAAGAACCACTTTAACGGAGACGCCTTCCGTCTTGAAGTGCGCCACCGACGGGACGAAATACCTAAATATGGGCGAGGAGCCTCTGTGGCTATGGATATTTCCACGACTGCTCAAGATACTGGCACATAGGAGGGCGCGGGCTATCACTGGTCAAGTTGAAGCACTCTTCGATTACATCCTGGAGCTTGTAGAGGATAATGTGGGAATTTGGGACCTCGGTTTGCCGCTTATGCAGTACTTCCGTGCAACCCTTGACAGTAAGCCTACCTCTGATGTTCTTGGATATGGAAGAACAAGCCCACTAACCTTCCATTAGGTATTCTTGACATTTTTGACCCCAATTCCTCGACGACCAGAACTTCTCCTCTCCAAATCGAGCTGCCCCCAAGCGCATTTTTGAAATCAGTCTCTGAAACCCCGATCTTGAATTGCACATTCCCTCTCCAGGGTGAAGAAAATGCTATCCACTTTGCTACCAGCCTTCTTTCAATCATCCAACGCGCCATCATTCCCGGGCCTGAGGCCAATATCTCTGTTCTTTACGGCAATCATACCATCTGGGTCTTGGATCTTTTCCAGCCGCTCAGTCTCCTCGTGGCAACTTTGCCAGTCCCCTCGGAGACTAGGGTTTCGAAGATTGTTCAGATGTCTCTTGAGTTGGCAGTGGCATACAACGAACTTGGCGCCACGGATGCAATCTTCAAGCACAAGGCTAATGCCACTCTTGCTTTAGTATGCAACAACGTGATCAAAAATCCCCAACAACTACTCACCCAAGACGATGAAGGAGTAGATGCAAGGCGCGTGATGTGTCTTGCTTTTGTTCATCTAGCGAAAGCTGCCATTGCTCATGCACCAACATCAAGTCTTATCTCTTGTGGTCTTTTTGGGATTTCAAAAGTACTGACGATGGAGAATGCTGTCATTGGGGCTGATACGGATTTCTCAGTGAGTAAAACAATATGACGTTGATGCTATAACTATGCTAACTCAAACCCAGCGAGCTGTCGAGCTTTTGGCGCAAGCAACCGTAAACCCAGCTTTCAAGGGCTTTACCGCTGAGATTCAAGCAGGCAACTTTGTGGATGCAGCACTGAAGCAACAGGTAGAAAAGCTTTTGGCCAAGAACAATCCGCCACAAGCATCCTCACAACCTCCACCGAAACGTAGGAAAACGGACTCTTCATCAGTGGCGTCCGGAGTTCTGGGTGATATTCATGGGCGACTCTGCCAGCTACTCGAGACAGATCCGGAAATGGACCTTGGAGATATCTTGAACCACTTAGCGGACGCCTACCCTCAGCTTAGCGAGGCCGATCAGTGCTGGCTTATTGAACTTATATCACGTCTGTTCTGCGCGGCAGATAATACATTGACAGTTCACAAGCACAGCACTCCCTCGACTCTCAAATTCCGGTGTTTGTATTGCTCTGGTACCAGCAATATGACGCCGGTCTCAGGTTATGATGCGGATATCAAGAACCTCGCACTAAGCTCTTTCAGTAAATTAATTCTGTTGCAAGAATTTGTCGAATCCAGGCGGCCTCGTATCTTTGCGATGATAGCTCTTCGACGAATAGCTAGGCACGTACCGAATGGGAAGTTTTGGGACAATGGAAAGTCGGCTCCTGGGAAGTGGTGCCTACAATCTCTGAGCAGCTCGGTCAGAGAGCTTCGTATTGCTGCTGGACGGGCGTTGCCCATTTTTCTTACCAATTTCTCAGCCACCGAGGTGGATAACAGCGTTATCAAAAGAAACACGGCCCGTACTATCGGACTTCTCAAATCAATATCTGACCAAAACGTCATCTCCTTGCAGGAAACTTGCATCATGGCATGGGGCCAAGTTGGGCGAGTGGTGGCGGACACGGAGTTGAACCTCGTCCTCGTCAAACTGGTCGAGTATCTCGGGCACCACAACATGATGGTATCAACCGTTGCGTTCAACGAGATTATGAACCTCGCGGAATCTCATGATGTGACGATTGCCAGCCTCTTCCGGCCTTTCTGGCCAAGTTTGGCGTTTTCAGTCGTCAAGGACCTCGTGTCAAGGCCACAGACCACACAGCTGGTTGCTGAACTTCTTCAGATAAGCATTCATAACCTTTTGAAGATGTTGCAAAAGCATGCGTTGCCGTGGTTGGTTCTCGGCAAAAAACGCGAGGTCATTCAAAAGATTGCTGAAGCAAGGGGTGAGAAGGACTGCTGGCAGCCTTGTGTTGATGCTGAAAACCTACCGTCTATACTTGCACTTCTCCTTGTACAAGACGTACCGAACGTGGAATCGTACGCGATGGAGCTGCTTCAACATACATCTGCGCATCTTAACAAGTCTCCCCTGGTGGATTTACTTCGAACGGGGCCCATGATGATCGCTTTAGAGTTGTTCAAATATGCCGCCGCTGCGAATGACGATCGAAAGCCTCAGGTAAAGATTCTTCAGGTTTTCGTTTTTTTCCTTTTCTTTTTTTGGCTATCTTGAGAGCTTCATGACTGACAGTTACTAGGTACGAACAGCACTTGTCACAATGGCGAATCTGATCACCGGAACGCCAAAGGACAAAAAGATGAGCAAGACAGATGTTATCGGGCGCTTTCTTCAACCCTATGCCTTGGGCGTCGCTACGCGGCTAGTCGAGAACATCAATGATTCTCACAATGTGCATCCTCCTCCACAGGAGCGAAAATTGTGCATTCGCGCAATGGAGGTAATGATTAGGGTGTGTTCTTCATACGCCAGCATTGCCCGTACCCAAGTAAGTAAATCAAAGCGTCAGCTTGCGAGACTTTCTCTAATATATCGACAGATATCGGCTTGCTTGGTGACTGCGCTGGCCCACGATGAACTCCGGTCAGCAGCCTTTTCATGTTGGGCATCCATGCTCACGTGTATGGAGGACACCGACCTGGAAGCACTACTCGAAGCGACGTTTTACCTTATCAGGTTCTACTACAGTTCCTGCGATGAAGAAACCAAACAATTCCTCAAGTCTCTGTTGCAAGATCTGCTTTCTAAGAACAGACAGATCATCATGGAGTACTCCATCAAGCTTCCCTCGCTCGGTGAAATTGATGAGCTGCGGGATATCAGTGAGGAAGTCGAAGGCCTTCGCCCGCGCTTGACGATCAAGGAGACCTTTGCCGTATTCTCACAGCGTTTGGCCCATGAAAACCCCGGTGTTGTCGAGTACGCGTTGACTGAACTGGTGCCATATCTGGAGAAGCACCAGGAATATCTCCAAACCTCAGCCATTAGCGAACGTCCGGATGCTATCCTCACAACCTTGACTCGTTCAATCTTGGACTGCTCGGTCAAGTACAACGGATGGCAACCATCTATTACGCGGTCATGCGCTGAAGCTCTCGGGCTCATAGGTTGCTTGGACTCCAATCGTCTGGAAACTACGCGGGAGCAGCAACACATTGTCGTCATTCACAACTTTGAGGACGCAAGCGAGACCACTGACTTTGTGGCCTTTGTGCTGGAGAATGTCCTGGTCAAAGCCTTCCAGTCGACAACCGACACCAAATTCCAGGGATACCTCTCTTATGCCATGCAGGTTCTCCTCGAGAGAACCGACTTTAAAGTTGCCTTCCAGATGGCTGGTGAAGGAGAAAGCGAGCCGGTCTATAGGAGATGGCTCGCCTTTGCGGAAAGCACTCGCGAAACCCTTATCCCGCTTTTATCTTCCTCCTTCTTGCTTGCGCCCTTGCCTAAGCAGTCCACTGAATACCCGATCTTCAAACCAGGGAAGAAGTCATATTCCGCATGGCTCAAAGCTATCGTGTTTGATCTGCTGCGCTGCACTCAGAACGCTTTTAGTGAGATGATCTTTGAGCCGCTGTGCCGGTTGATCAAGGTCAAAGATCTCACGGTTACTGAATTTTTGCTGCCTTTTGTGGTCATGCATGTCATCCTGGGTCAACCGGACTCTTCGGTGTTCAGTCCAACGATCAAGGCTGAGTTGTTGGCTATTCTGAAATACCACCCGCCAAGCACAGCCTCGTATGTCGAGAAGGAGCAGACAAAGCTCTATTACCAGGCGGTGTTCCGCATTATCGACTACTTCAAGAGATGGCTGCAAATTAGGAAACTGAAGGCGACCACGCCAAGGGCCCAGAAACAGGTCGCCTGGGTTGAGGATGTTCTCGACTCTCTCGATCCAAAGTTGCTTTCGCAGCGAGCTGTCGATTGCGGTGAGTATGCCAGAGCTCTTTACTTTCTGGAGCCGCACCTGGAGAATCTCGATAAGAAAAAGCCACAGGAAGTACGTGAAGTCGACGAAGACTATCGGTTGCGTGACACTCTTCAGAACATTTACACGCAAATCGACGACCCAGATGGTTTGGAAGGTGTCTCGGCTCATCTGGGCACGGTCACTTTGGACCAGCAAGCCCTCAACCATCGGAAAGCTGGCCGCTGGACAGCAGCCCAGACATGGTATGAGATTCGACTGGCGGAATCTCCCGAGGACACTGATATTCAGGTTGATCTCCTCACCTGTCTCAAAGAATCAGGCCAGCATGACGTTTTGCTCAACTACGTGGAGGGCATGAAGAGGTCTCCAGCGACGGTCAACAGGATAGCGCCCTTTGCGGTGGAAGCCTCGTGGGCCACGGGGCGGTGGGAAACACTGGAGAAGTACCTTGGGCTTTACAATGCAGGCGATGTTTCGGAGGTTTTCGATCTTGGGGTTGGGCAAGCTTTGCTTTCGCTGAAGAAGAGGGATATGGGGGGATTCAAGGAGCATATCCAGATTTTGCGGGACAAGGTGGCGGGGTCAATGACTTACTCGGCGACGTCGTCGTTGAGGGCTTGCCATGAGGCTATGCTGAGATGTCATGTGCTCAGCGATCTTGAGATGATTGCTAGCAATAAGGCTTTGGAAGGTGACAATCAGGCGGTTCTTGCGACGCTGGATCGGAGGTTGCAGGTGCTTGGTGCTTATGTTGGGGATAAGCAGTATTTGCTTGGTGTGAGGAGGGCGGCTATGGAGTTGATGAGGTATGTTAGCCCCTGGAGTCCTGATGCTGGAGCTTGGGTTACTGACTTTTGCAGACCGAAATATGGCAACGAGGATATATCGGCACTCTGGCTCCTGAGCGGTAAGCTGGCGAGGAAGGCCGGCTCCATGCATCAGTCGTTCAACGCAGTGCTGCATGCTCAACAACTCGGCGATGCTTCTGCTATCATTGAGAACGCTCGTCTGCTGTACAAGGATGGACATCATCGCAAAGCTATTCAGATACTGGAGATGGCGATCAAGGAGAACTCCTTCGTCGACAAAGCAGTTGGACCCGTTCCTCCGAGCTCGGCCAGAAGCCAAGAGTCCCATCGCAATATGTTGACGGCGACAGCGCAGCTTCTTTTGGCCAAATGGCTTGATTCCACCGGCCAAACGCATGCGGGCGCATTGCGGGCACAGTATCAGCAAGCAGCCAAGACGCATTCACGCTGGGAGAAGGGTCATTACTACCTCGGGCGTCATTACAAGAAGCTTTTGGAGTCGGAGAAAGGCCTGGATCCGGAGCAACAGAGTGATGAGTACATCACTGGAGAGACAGCCAAGCTCGTCATTGAGAACTATCTCCGTTCGCTCAACTTTGGGTCAAAGTACATTTCTCAAACCTTTCCCCGAATTCTGACGCTATTCCTGGAACTCGGATCTCAGGTCAACAAAACTCCAGACGGCAAGGTGACGTTTTCCAGAGAATTGTACCAGCGACGACGTGACATTCTCACTGAGCTCTGCGCAAAATTCCACAAGCAACTGGAGACCATGCCTGCATATATTTGCTATACATCCTTGCCCCAAATCACTGCCCGGATAGGACACCCAAGCCCGGATGTCTTCAAAGTACTGGAGGACATGATTGTCAGGGTGGTCAACGCCTATCCTAGGCAGGCCCTCTGGAACGTCTTCCCTTTCATGGCGAATCCCAGCAGGCAGCCAAACGACCGCCAAAGGAGGGCAATCAAGATATTGAACACGATCAAGACGTCCAGCCCGGACATTAAGGCGTTTTTGAGAGCAGGGGAGAAGCTAGCCGAACAACTGCTCGTGGCTTGCAACAATGGACACTTTCAGAGCAACAGGACAACGACGGCGAGCATCACTAGGGATTTGTTCTTTAACCACAAGTGCACGCCTTGCCCGCTGGTCGTTCCGGTTGAGACCAGTTTGACTGCCACGTTGCCGACTTTGACAGACAATGTCAGGAGGCACAAGCCATTTTCTCGGGATGCTGTCACGATTGAGGCGTTCCTTGACCATGTCTTGGTTTTGGGGTCGCTGGCAAAGCCACGGAAGTTGACAGCCCGTGGATCAGATGGCAAGCTTTATGGTCTACTGATCAAACCCAAGGACGATCTGCGTACAGACCAGCGCCTAATGGAGTTTAACTCGCTCATCAATCGCTCGCTCAAACGGGACGTGGAATCCAGCCGAAGGCAGCTCTACATCAGGACATATGCTGTCACGCCCCTCAACGAAGAATGCGGCATCATCGAATGGGTCGACGGGCTGAAGACATTGCGCGAAATTTTGCTGAGCATCTATAGGGGGAGGAACATCTCGCCAAACTACACCCAGCTCGCGCAACTGATGAAGCAGGCTTGCGCCGGGGACAACAACACGCACATCTATACCGAGACGATCATCGGGATGTTCCCGCCCGTGTTGGGGGAGTGGTTCGTCTCGCAGTTTCCCAACCCTTCGTCTTGGTTTGCGGCGAGGCTGAAGTACACGCGGTCGTGTGCGGTCATGTCGATGGTGGGGACGATTCTCGGGTTGGGTGACCGGCACGGAGAGAATGTCTTGCTTGAGGAGGGGAACGGGGGCGTTTTCCACGTGGATTTCAACTGTCTTTTTGACAAGGGGAGGACGTTTACTCAGCCCGAGTGTGTGCCGTTCAGGTTGACACACAATATGCAGTATGCCATGGGGGTGTATCGGTATGAAGGGCCGTTTAGGCACTGCAGCGAGCTGACGTTGAGAATACTCAGGCAACAGGAGGAGACGTTGATGAGTATTTTGGAGGCGTTTATTTATGATCCGACGCTGGATCTGCAGAGGGGGAGCAAGAGGACGAAGGAGGTGGTCAAGTTGAATCCTACGAGTGTGGTGGCGAGCATTAAGAGGAAGGTGGAGGGGTTGCTGCCGGAGGAGAGCATACCGCTGGGGGTGGAGGGGCAGGTGGATATGCTGATCAAGGAGGCGACCAACCCGAGGAATTTGGCGGCGATGTATATTGGGTGGTGTCCGTTCTTGTAAATCCTTGGATATAATATGGGGTATCGTATGAGCGGGGTGGTGGTTATGAATAGCGAGTTTTTTGGGAAGGTGAGCATAGCGGTTATTTAAGGGGGTGTTGGTTTTAGGAAGGTATTTAGATGGATAGTGTTTGTAGAGATTGGTGATATCTGAGTCAATGGATTCGTTCTAGTTGACATAACTTCTATCAGTCTGTTGCGTTTCCTCGAAATAGCAAATGACACACTCGACCTTCACAATGCAAACAATCATCCTGGAGGGCCATTCCCAGATTGTTGATGACAGCGGGTTAACCCCTGAAATCCAAACAAACGGCGGGTTGGCTGGTTATTAATGATCGCCCAGCCCGCCTAGCGCAACACAACGCTTGGGCCTGGATTTCACCGTTCATTCCACCTCCCTCCAGATAGGTCGTACCTTCTCTCCTCGCAAAAAAGAACTGTGGAACAGCTGAGATTTCTGCCTGGTTTTTCCAACTTTTTTCATTGACGGTCAGAAGAAAGTCTGTCTCGATTTCCTTTGAGAAAACTTTTCACCTTTTTTCCAGAAATATTTCTGGCAAGCTTTGTTGTGTGTTGAAATATTGGTCGGATCGACCCATTCACAGCTCACCGTCTTCTATCCAATCTCGCCCACTCGGCAACGCGCAACAGACGCGTCCATCTTCCAGTCTTCGACACGACAGAGAAAAGAAAGCGATTGGGAAGCTATTCTGCAGCGATTCGGCACGTTTTCTGCTTTGAATAGAGGATTCTCAACAATCTCGGCAATCCTAACAGAATCGGCTTGATCACTGAAAGTCGGTCAAGATGTCTGGTTATCGTGTTGGTATGTCCTTCTCTTGATGGTGCATCTCTTCTTTCCTATCGCATGATGGGTTTTCACCATTGTCAGTCTGCCTTGGTCATACCACATTGCTCACGAGATGCTCTTTTCCAACTTTGACATTTTACCTCTTGTCATTTTGGATTTATCAGCAGCCAACCTCGTCGACGTCACTTTCCTTCCACCTCCACTCCACCCCCATCGTATTTAACATGATCTAACCCATCCACAGAGAGAGCCACTACCGGCCGTGCCGGGTGCAAAGACCCCGTCTGCAAGAAGGAAAACATCAAGATTGAAAAGGGCCAGCTCCGGTTTGGAGTCTGGGTGACCATCATGGAGCATGGGAGCTGGGCCTGGCGTCATTGGTATGTCTAATTATATCCACCCCTTTTCTGCTGGAATTGATGTCCTAACGAATTCACACAGGGGCTGCGTCTCTGGTGAGACCATCTCCAACTTGCAGGAGTATCTCAGCAAGGACAAGAACGGTGAATACAACTGGGATATGCTTGATGGCTGGGAGGAGTTGGAGTAAGTTTGACTATTGTCTGGTGGTAATGTGGCGGTTGGGTGTGGAAAACTAATGAAGCATACTAGGGAGTACCCTGATTTGAGGCAGAAGGTCCAGAGGGTTCTTAACCAGGGACATATCGATGCTGAGGATTTCAATGGCGACCCCGAATTCAACGTTCCTGGACAGAAGGGAATTCGCCCGCGTCACCCCGGAAGAAGAAGAACGCTGAGGAAGAGGTGAGCTGCGCTTTGCCGGGGGTTGGTGTTAACCGATGGCTGACCGTGATATAGGAGGGCAATGGAGCTGAGGCTGCAGAGACTCCTGCCAAGAAGCGTGCTGCTAAGCGTGGCCGCAAGAAGGCTGATGAAGACGAAGCTGAGGCTGAAGCCGAGACCGAGGCTCCTGTTGCGAAGAAGGCTAAACGTGGTGGCAAGAAGGCTGCTGCTGCTGCTGTTGAGGACGAGGATCAAGTTTTGGCTGATGCTGAGCCGGCTGAGGAGCAAGAGAAACCCAAGAAGAAGGCTGCTCGTGGCAAGAAGGCTGTTGCTGCTGTTAAGGAAGAGGACGAAGAGGAAGCTGCGCAGCCCAAGAGAAGAGGTGCTGCTCGTGGCAAGAAGGCGGCGCCTGTTTACAAGGAGGAGGAGGAGGATGAGGAGGAGGAGGAGGAGCAAGACGAGGATGAAATTGTTGAGAAGCCCAAGCGTGTTGCCCCTGCCAAACGTGGAGCTAAGGGGAAACAGGCGAAGGAGCCTGAGCCGCAAGCTGAGCCAGAGTCCGAGGCGACACCCGAGGAGGACGAGGAGGAGGTTGTCGAGAAGCCGAAGCGTGCTGCTCCTGCCAAGCGTGGAGCTCGGGGCAAGAAGGCGAAGGATGCCGAGCCTGAGCCTGAGGTTGAGGCCGATGCGGAGGTTGATGCTGCGCCGGAGGAGGCCGAGGAGGAGGCCGAGGTTGAGGAGAAGGTCGCTCCCAAGAAGCGAGGAGGCCGGAAGCCCAAGGCCAAGGCTGCCGATGCCGATGGTGAAGCTGCTCCTGCCCCAAAGAAGCGTGGTAGAAAGGCGTAAGTTTTTTTTTTTTTTGCAGGGTGTTGCTTGATGGGGACTGATGCTAACTGTCAGCAGGGCTGCCTAGAGTTGATGTACTCAACACACTTTACCCGTCGTCAACACTTGATATGTTTTTTTTGGCGAGGCAGGTAGTGGACTTTTCTTGTTGGCACAATTTGCTGGGTTCATTTTTTTTCTTTTTCACGATGAGCTCTTCAATGCGATGATATATGGCTTTGGCCCCTCAGAGGAGGAGCTATGGTTGCCACTACAGCACCGGCCGCCGGATTTTATTCAAAGCAGGAAGAGCCCACAGAATTTGGCGGCGGCATAATACCTGGGTGGGTGTATCATACTGTTTTTTTTCCTACTTTTTTTCTTGTCAGAGTAACCCATATTTTTCCATAGGAGGAAATACATTGTGATCATCTGTAACTGATTTCATTGTGTGCCGATCTGCCATCTGTCATTTTTATCATCACTTGGCCGGGTAGCGGGCTGGGTCAACGATATGTTGACCTGTGCTAGGTGCATGTTCGGGATCTACAGGAACAAAAAAGAACAATGTGAAACGAAACAGAAGTGGGACTCTTTTTTCGTTTGAGAGGGGAGGGAATAAGTACACTATGGGTTTCGCTAATCTGAGCGGCGTGGTAGGTTGGTTGGATTCATGGGCCGAGCCGAAAGGGAGGGGGGATCATTTGTGCCGTAGAAGTATGTGTTGGACTATGTTTACTCTCCTATCATGATGAGGAGGGAAGGGGGGGCACAGTTCTTTTGAGACAGCCAGTCCGGATCTCAAACTGCATTATATTGATGTGGATTCAATATGGTTTGGTCATGATGGGCGGTTTGAGTGCATGATGTTGTGCTTGCTGCTGCTCGATTTCGGAAGTTGGATGATTGATGCCCAAACTACGACGATAAAGTTGATGATCTGAATCGAGATGTTCTCTGAACTTCCATTTTTGCCCTTTGGGCATCGAGACTAAAGCTCGTGATAATGACATCGGCATTTGTCTGCTCTCGTGTGATGCGAAAATGTCGGTAAGTCTAGTCACGGCTTGTCTACTAGTGTTAGAATGGACAGGATTTCTGGAAGAATCTCGTTTGCTGCTGAATATGCACTATTGCGTCACCTGTCTTGGAGGTGTGGGTGTGGGTGAAAGATGTCTTGGATTATACACGAGACTTTTTGGGGTAGGTAGGTGGCGGGGCCGATGGGCGAAGCTACGTGAAACGGGGATTTCTCAAGTTTTTGAACAGAAAAAAGTTGGTGTTTTGGACAGGGTGTTAGAGAGATCTGTTATAATGAGTTTGTTATATGAGAATTCGGTGAGAGATGTCGGGTTGATTCGAAGCAACTGTAAGTATCTGGTGTTGCGGACGAAAGTGAATCGATGATGTATGACCAGGCTTTCGTCCATGGTGGGGTTATCTGCTGGAAAGGAGGGGCTGGGGGAGAGTGAGGGGCTGCAACGTTTTTTGCTTGCGGCCATCATGATAGTAGTGTAGGTAGCACTGAGATGAACCAATTGTGAGAGAGAACATAGCGCTTCTTCTAGCCTGTTCGTCTTGTCTCAATTTTTCCCCAGTCATCGGCGTCACCAGGCCAGAGACATCTGATTGTTGGCCCGCATTAGTCCGGCTGGCTGAGTCTGCCATCCGGTGGGGGTGCTGTCCTGCTGCGACGTCCCTCGTGCCTCTGGAGAAGCTTGTGACGCCTGTGTCACCGACGGGCTTTGGTCTGGGCTGGTTGTGACACTTTACCGCACTCCTGCAGAGGGATCTGGTGAGGTTGATGGAGGATTGCGAGGGGAGAGAGGACATCCCATGTTTGAGAAACATCGAGATAAAGCCTAGTAGACGCAAGAAAACACAGTACATCTGATAGCAGTATACACTGTAATGGCGGGTAAACTGCCTACTAGCGCACAGTGTCAAGACGCCGCAACGGCTCGTGCCAACGTCTGTGGACCCCACCATAGATTGGGGGTCTTTCAAAGCGTTGGAAAGTCAACAATCAAGACTCTCCCACGGCCTGACCGTCATGCTTCATCAAACATCGCCGGTAGTCATGGTATTCATTCCTTACAGACACTATGAATGAGCCCAAAACCAGGCTGATTGTTGGTTACATAAGTTGAAAGGGAATGTAGGCGCCGATCTAGGCGCACTAGACTAGCTAAGGCGCAGGGAAGCTGTGGGATGACGACGTTGGTTTGAGCCCAAATTAAATCCCGAACAATTGGCTGGCACCGCCAACCAGGCCAGACCCTGAAACTCGTCGTCAGTCAGGCCCAGCGGCAGGGAAAGCAGTTAATACCCAGAGGCTGGCCAACAGGCCCGCCCGTCTCTGCAACGACTGCGACCACTTTCTGTTTCCATTCTCGAAGCATCATCTCAGTTCTTAATACCGGCCCAGGCCCCGTGGGCTTCTTCTCCGGCTTCCCACCACCCTTCACCTCATCCGTTGCGCACATCATCGACCATTTCCATTTCCCACTGTGAGAAGTAAGACCTAGCCGACCACCAAGCCGAAAAGTGACAAGTGAAGAGGAGAAAAGGCATAAGCCTGGTTTGTCTGCCAAGTTCACTGGTCAAGATTGGTCACTGCCTGCGTTGGACCCCGCCTTGGCTCGCACTTGGCCACTCTCAGTACAGGAGTCCTCCAACCCCCCGGAGCTGACCAACGTCACAGCCTCGAGCAGGCTGAACACCTTTTCCCACCGCACAATCTCCAGGTTTTTCTGCGGAAAGTCCGGGGACATCCGCAACTTTGGCTCTTTCAAGTTTTCTACACACTCTTGACAGAAGACTAGCTCTTGTTGTGTTTCAAGCCCATCTCACGACCCCGCCTTCTCAGTCTCTGTGACCCAGCGGTCTTGAGTTCTTCCATCCACCTCCACCCGCCAGGTCAGCATACCCCGCTCCACCGCTAGGCCGGCCAGAAAAGCTCACCATCTGCCACAGAAAGAACGCACCAAACACCAAGCAACAATGTCCAGCAGAAGCCGTGTCGAGTTCGACGAGCGCGAGTACGTTCGGGACGCACCTCCTCCTCGTCGTGCCCCCGTCCGTGAATATGACGACTACCGTGACCCCGCAAGGGTCCCCGCTTTCATGTTGCGGGAGGAGAGGCCAAATCAAGCCGGCCAGTTGGTGCTCAGGGCAAGAGAGGTCGAGACCATGGAGCGCCAGAGGCCGAGATCTCCCAGCCCGGAGATTCGGATGAGGGAGCGCATTGTTCAGCGGGCCAGAAGCGTCAGCCCAGGCCCAAGGCGAGTAGAGGAGGATATCCGGATCCGCCAGGTCGAAAGGACACGCGAGCCCAGCCGGGCCCCTTCGGAGAGAATTCGCTATGTTGAGAGGCCCCGTTCCCCATCGCCTTCGATCCACGAGCGCATCCGCATCACAGATCGGAGAGAAGAGCGCCGGAGCCCAAGCCCGGCTCCTCCGCCGCCGCCGCCGCAGCCCCAGGTCATCAAGGGCCCAACTATCGAGAGAGAGGTTATCACACATTACCGCGATATTGACCATGGTGAGTCATCCACTACGGCGGTCGTCCCAAGCTGAACTGGTTGTACTAACTCATCCTAGGCATGGTTGTAGCCCGCCCGCCGTCGCCTCCTCAGCGTCACGAGCACCGTGATACTGAGATAGACATTTATACTAATCGCAAGGGTACCACCGAGGTGGACATTCACAAGCACACCCACTCGCACAGCCGTGGCCGGTCTGTAGAGCGGCCCTCCCGTCCCGTTGTCCACGCCTACGAGGACGACCTGGTGGTCTCCACGAACAAGCACCTCCATGTGGACATTGAGCGTCGCCGGAGCATCTCCCGTGGCCGTCGCGCTCACTCGGCCGCACCCCCTGTTATCGACTACGACGACGAAGCTTACGAGATCAAGTCCCGGATCGATGCGCGCGGCAAGATGGGCGAGGCCTGGAACGGCATCACCAAGGATTGGACCATCGTTGATGTGCCTCCCGGAACCGAGCGTGTGCGCATGGATGGTGCCGGTGGCGCCTCTGCTGAGGTGACATGGCAAAAGTACAGCGGTGTTCGCCGGGCCAAGTTCATCCCTGACCGTGACGAGAAGAGCGTTGTTTCCGAGACCTCCACCACTATCTCGGACGCCCGTGACCGCAACCGTGACCGCGACATTGAGCGGGAGAGGCGGTTGAGTGTGCAGATCATTGACAAGGACCGCCGGGATCGTGACGATTATGAGAAGATTACCGATCGCCGTCTCACCATTTCCAAGTCGAGGACGAACTCTCCTGCGCCGCCTCCCCCCCAGCAGCGTCGCAGTGAGACCTGGACTGAGATCACCAAGGACTTGGTCTGCCGTGAGGCTATTCAGGAGATGGGCTATGAGTATGAGGAGACCGAGTACTTTTACTACATTATCGACTTTTTGGCTCACGTAAGTTCACGCTCACCTTTTCTACATGCTGCCGATAGATTACTAACGCCCTAAACAGGAGGAGGTTGTCCGTCTTGTGAACCTCTCGGACCGCATCCGCCAATCCCGCAAGGACCGCGCCAGAGAGATCCAGTACGAGCGCGAGTGGCGCGATGAGTGGGAGCACCGTCACCACCACCACCACAGCCACAGCCACAGCAGCAGCAGACACCGTCTGGATGACGAGCGCGTGGTCGAGCGTGAGATCATCTACGACAGCCACCGTCACCCAGGCGGTCGCCAATATCGTTACTAAAAGCCCGGCATGATACGACTTTGGCGACTTTGGGGATGATGAATCACTGATGATGATGAATGTGTGATGACGTCTTGCTGTTATAGAAACTTTTTGTTTTGTTGTTTCTGGAAAAGGATGATGATGATTGTGTTTTGGATGATACCAACCACCAATGCATGGTTAATAATGAGCTTGAAGAGTTGACCAGTGGTCATTGTCATGGAAGGAGACAAGAAGTGGATGGGTCGACTTTTGTTTTTCTAGTTTTGGATATTGTTTTCATGTTGGTCTTTTATCATGGTCATGTTTTGGTTTGATGTCTTGCGAGTTTTTTTGGTTATTTTTTTAACGACTTTTATGATTACATACATCATTAACTAGCGAGTTGTGAAAAAAAGAGAGAGAGAAATGCTTTGAAATATCTTGATGATCCTTGTGGTGACATTTTTGAGAGAAGGGACTTGACATTCGTTCCAAAGCATGAACCTACATCCTCTTGAGACTACAGGGTTATGGCATGTTTTGTAATACAGTGACTATTTGTGTCCTTCCTCATATCGAAGTCTGCGCTATTATATTGACTTGCCGAGCCAGTTTTCCACCATAAATACCAGGCCTCGCAATCCCGCTTGTTGAAAAGAACAGACCGGAAAACGGTGTCATCGCCAACCCATCAGCAGAGGATCATCCGACCGAGAGGGAGGCAACAACACCTTCGCTAGAACGGTACCATTCACGCCGCCCTATTCTCGTCGGACCGACAGAACGTAGCCCAGAAAAGCACCCATCGAGCACGACAACTAAGTATCAAGACAGCTAGAGAGCACCTGCCTGACCACATCCTCCAGAGCCTCACCCGCCTGACTCCCCAAACCCCAAACCCACTGCCTGCTTACCTTCTCCCCCCCTTCCGCAAAAGCCCCAGTCACCTTCAACTCAGGACCACCCTCACTAAAGGTAAACTCAAACCCGATCCCAAAACCCCCCGTCTCATCCACCAACCCCTTCTCATCCGACCTCGTAGCCCACCTCGCGAGACCCTCCTCCCCCGAAGAGGAGTTCCCTTTCAACCCCTCCAGCACCAACATGGAATGCGCCGTCAACGCCCTCGGCACAGCCCCGTTGATATACCACACCGCGTCATTAGCATCAAAGTACTCGTCCGGACTGGGCGGAAACACGCTCTGCAGCGGATTCCCACTCCCCGGCTGCGACGATGTCGGTGGCGGTAACGTCCAAACAGCGAAACGAGGGCCGTCAGACTGGGGAGGTTTGACCATCACCCTCAGTCGAGACTGAGGCGTGATGTCCACGTCAAACTCCACCGCTGGAGGGCTGTACAATACCGGGCCGATATTTTCCGAGTCAGCTGCCGTGCCCGCGCCGGGTGGTGTGCGGACCGGCGGTTCCCTCACGAGAACTGAAGCGGGCAGGCCGGCGGAGCGTAGAGCCTTTGAATAGGCGAGGAGATGCTGGATGAATTGGGCGATGTTCCTCTCGTGTTCGAACCACGAGACGATGGGGCCGAGGAGGGAGTACACCGGAGCCGAGGTTTGAACCGCGTTCCTGTCCTCCCGCCGCCTTTCATTGATTTTGTGGGCGTGGGAAAGCTGTAGGGCCAAGGCTAGGCTCAACATTTCGGCGACATCGTCTTTTGGTCTTGGTGAGCCTGTTGTGTCCTTTGCATTCTCTTCCTCCAACGAGGCAAGTTCGACCGACATGGTCGAGGTTGGACTCATGGCGTACGTGACAGAAGATCTGGACATCCGCACATTGCGGCCGCCAAGCGTTCTCGCTTCTCTGTTGATCTCATGCCACAGCTCTTGAGCAAAAATGGTATTGCGTGGCATCCTTGACACGGTCGACAAGTGTTTGCGTTTTCTGGCAACGGATCCGGCAACGACGATTGTCCGAACAACCTTGTCGTTCTCCGAGAATCCCTGACGCGTATGCGGCCCGAGATTCCACCGCCCCTTTCTTCCGAGCTCCAACTTGACGGACCCATCGTCGGCTCTTCTCAGCGGTGCAATCCCGCTGTTCTTGAACTCTGGGGCGGCGTTCAAGAAGCCAAAGCTGACACACATGGTTTGTGGTTCCTGAGCCATGCGAGCAACTCTGAAGCCGGCTTCCTTGACTGTGGACACCTCGGCCCAGTACTTCTCCTCAGCCTGGATCTGGTGTTCTAATCTTGACTGTGCAGGCTTCGCCATGCTGATGCAGTTGTCCAACGCCAGGTATCGTTGGCCTATAGCTGTCATTCTCATCTCCGTCTCTCTTGACTGGGCCAGGGCGGTGGGCGCTGCGAGCATGGTGGCGCCTAGGGTACCGAGACCAACAGTCGCGCGTGTTTCTTGGCTGAGTGTGCTGGTAGCTTGAGTCGGCATCTCCCTGGAGATTAGCAGGGAAAGGAAGTCGAGGGCCCAGTTTGATGTTGCCAGGGCGGCTTGGGTTTGTTGAAGGAGTTCAGCCCGTACGGCGTTAATATCCGGGGTTTCGGTCGACTCCTCAGCTTCGGTCTCGGCAGGTTCCTCGGCCTCGTTGGAATCGGTCATTTCAACATCATTCTGACCATTTTTCTGTTCAGCAGCGGCGGCTTTGGCTCTTCGAGCTGCTACCATGGCTTGGATGCCGCCAGGTTGTGAGCGTGCCCGGGCCCAGAATTCAGCGATATTTTGAGGGCCTCTTGGCTTCGCCGCTGGCGGTTGCAGGTTAAAGGGTCGGTCGTCCATAATGGCGACTTTATGAGGTCCTCTTTATGATGAATGAAAATGTGCCATGTGCCTTGGTGCTATGTAGAATGCTCTTATAACTGGCGATACGATGGTTGTTGATACCTGCCGTTGATGTTCACAGTTGGCGGTGGAGTGTGCACCAATGAAGAGTTAGTTTGTTGCCTGAAGCGGTTAGCGTGGAAGCCGCGGAATGGGGGTCAGAGCAGGAGAGAAAAGGAAACTGATAGGGAATTGATGGCCGGCTGGACTTGTTTAGGAGCCGCTCAGAGACTCAATCTTATTAACCTCTCTTCTCACGATAAAACTGTGAGTCGTCTTTGGGAATTGTCTTCAAGGCTGCGTGATTCCGATAAAAGTTTGAACCACAATATCTTGGACCAAGTTGTTTGATGTGAGTTGGAAGCTGCAAGCTGTAGTCGCGACCGATGAGGCTTGAGATGCTCTGTAAGGTGGGGCCGAAGTGACCCTCCCACTCGAGCTCCAGGGTCCCCCGCTGCTCCCAAAAATCTCAAAAACCACCTCAGCTCCCAAATTATGTCATTGCTCTGACTACCCACGGAGTCTTTGATCCCAGAAACCCCTCACCTGGCGATGCAACCAACAGGGCGCAGGAGGTGCAGACATTGGGGAGAGGGAGCAAGGGACCATGTGAGGGATATTTGACATGTGCGACACCGGCGCTTCTTAACTGGTGAGGTGTTGTCCAGTCTGAGGTGAGGAACCAAAGCTAGGTAGGTAAAGAGAAGAGCGGGAGCTGTGCCCTGGAAACCACCCCGCGCTCCTCGATAAGATAAGAGCTCCTGCCCACTGCTCACTAGACTGGGCTCTTCCCACTGGGTCGGCCAAGGGAGGCACTCGTCAGCTGCAGTTGGCGTGAGCGTGGTGCTGATATCCTCGAACCTCATCCGATTCTCCGTTTTCCGATTTCCTGTCTTCCCAACATTCAAAAAGGCCGGACTAACCGTGCCCCGCCTGCTCTCTTCCTCCAATTCTTACCCCCCTTGGTACTACTGAATATCCCTACGTACTCTCACACCGGGCTCCTTTGCGGCCTGGAGCATGCCTTTACCTGACACACGCTTTTTACTTCGGCCTTTCTCCATCGTCATCTATCCGATCTGGACGCTACTGGCCTTTTTCTACCGCCACTCCCCCCTCCGTTTCCTTTCCTCGACTCTCCAGCCCCTTTTCGGACTTCGCAACACCACTGACATTGACCCCGAGACACCCGAGCCAACATCTACTACCAACATGTCGGCCAAGAAGAAAATCGCCATCATGACCTCGGGAGGTGACTCCCCAGGCATGAACGGCGTGGTGCGCGCCTGTGTGCGCATGGCCATCCACATGGGCTGTGACGCCTATTGCATCTACGAAGGGTACGAGGGCTTGGTCCGTGGCGGTGACCTCATCCGGAAGATGAATTGGTACGATGTCCGCGGGTGGCTCTCCGAGGGCGGTACTCTCATTGGAACCGCCCGGTGCATGGCCTTTTTCGAACGCGCTGGTCGCCTTGCTGCTGCCAAGAACATGATTCTACACGGCATTGACGCCCTCATCATCTGCGGAGGAGATGGTTCCCTGACTGGCGCGGATCGATTCCGTGCCGAATGGCCCTCGCTGCTCGACGAACTCGCTGCCAATGGCGAATTTACCACCCAGGAGCTTCAGCCATTCAGACATCTCAACATTGTCGGTCTCGTCGGTTCCATTGACAACGATCTCTCTGGTACAGATGCCACTATTGGTTGCTACTCTGCGCTTGCAAGAATCTGCTATGCTGTCGATCTCATCGAGGCGACAGCCTCTTCCCATTCCCGCGCTTTCGTCGTCGAGGTCATGGGGCGGCATTGTGGCTGGCTTGCTTTGATGGCCGGTGTTGCGACGGGTGCCGATTTCATATTTATTCCGGAGAAACCTAGGGAAGACAACTGGAGAGAGGAAATGTGCAGCATCGTTGAGCATGTAAGTACACCCTCTTCTGGGACGTCATTCTGTTCTGGCTGAAGCTAAACGAGTCAACGACAGCATCGCAAAATCGGCAAGCGGAAAACGATCGTGATCATTGCCGAGGGAGCACTCGACAGAGAGGGGAACAAGATCACCCCGGCAATGGTCAAGGATCTTCTTGCGGACAAGGACGGCCTCGGACTCGACACCAGAATCACGACACTGGGCCATGTTCAAAGAGGCGGGACAGCTGTTGCTTACGACCGTATGCTGGCGACACTGCAAGGTGTTGAAGCCGTCAAGGCTGTTCTCGAGGCCACCCCTGAGACAAAGACCTGCGTCATTGCCATCACCGAGAACAAGATTGTCAGAAAGCCCCTTATGGATGCGGTACAAGACACCAAGAAGGTGGCCAAGGCAATCGAACGGCAGGACTTTGAGGAGGCCATGGGTCTACGGGACGCCGAGTTCTCGGAGCAATACAAGTCGTTCATGATGACTACGGCGGTCCAAGTAGACAAGGAGCTGTTGCTGCCAGAGAAGGAAGTACGGCTCCCCTCTCTCCACTCGCAGGTTTCCTGGGTGCTGACAGACTTTACAGAGAATGAGGATTGGGTTCATCAATGTCGGCGCGCCCGCCGGCGGTATGAACGCTGCAGTGCGCGCTGGTGTAGCTTACTGCTTGTCCCGAGGGCACGAGCCGATGGCGATTTACAACGGCTTCGCCGGATTTGCCCGGCATCATGCCGACAACCCTGGAGCTGTCCGACCCTTCAACTGGCTTGAGGTGGACGGATGGGCCAGCAAAGGTGGCTCGGAAATTGGAACGAACCGCGAGCTTCCAGGCGAGTCCGGCATGGAGACCATTGCCAACTTGATTGAGCAGTACAAGTTTGACGCTTTGTTCCTCATTGGCGGTTTCGAAGCTTTCCATGCTGTCTCTCAGTTGCGCAAGGCTAGGGATCAGTATCCATCCCTGTGCATCCCCATGACATTACTCCCCGCCACCATCTCCAACAATGTGCCAGGGACAGAATACTCGCTCGGTTCGGATACTTGTCTGAACGAACTGGTCGAGTATTGCGACAAGATCAAGCAGTCTGCCTCGGCTACCCGGAGACGTGTCTTTGTCATTGAGACGCAAGGTGGACGCTCTGGCTACGTTGCGACGCTCGGTGGTCTTGGTGTTGGTGCGTCGGCCGTGTACACCCCGGAAGAGGGTGTCAGCCTCGATATGCTCGCTGCGGACGTGCGCCATCTCAAAAACGTCTTCGCCCACGACCAGGGCCAGAGCCGTGCCGGTCGCCTCATCTTGATCAACGAGAAGGCTTCCAAGGTGTACAATGCCAAGTTGATTGCCGACATCCTCCGCGAAGAGTCACATGGCAGGTTCGAGAGTCGCGAGGGTATCCCTGGTCACATGCAGCAGGGTGGTGTACCGTCGCCCATGGACAGGTGCCGGGCTGTCAGGCTGGCCATACGGTGTATCCAGCACCTGGAGCAGTTTGGCCGCAACGTGCACAACAGGGTCAAGGTGGACCCCATGAGCACAACGGTTATTGGCATCAAGGGCGCGAGCGTGGTCTTTACGCCTGTTAAGCAGGTTGAGGAGGAGGAGACGGACTGGCCCAACAGACGGCCAAAGGCGGCGTACTGGCTGGGCATGAAGGAGATTGTCGACATTCTGGGTGGCCGTCCCAAGTATGAGCTCCCCGAGTCGGACTTGACTGGTATCAAGGCGAAGGATGTCAAGCGTGGGATTGTGCCGCCTTGAATGGGATGGGACTGAAGAGTCGAAACAGGAAGTCTTTTGACGGTTGTTTCTCTCCGTGACTTGGGCTGTCATTGCTGCAATGATGATTCATCAAGTACCACTTTCCCTTGTTGTCGTCTAGCATCACCGACGAAGGGATCGGTAAATTCATGCAGGAAGGGAAGGGGGAAAATAGACAAGGACAAAGGCTCGGGACTGGTTGGTGTGAGGGGGGGTTATAGGATGGATGAGTGGGCTTTAGTTAGGGCAAAAAACACCATCATCTCTACCACTACCTTGGCACCGATACAAGAATAAAAAAGGAAGCTGTAAAGTGCAACAATAGACTCTGGAACGCATAGCTCCTCAATATGCAGTTATATGTGTGGTTGCTTGGCGAGAGACAGCACTCTTGGAAATGGTATCATATTTGTTGAGAAACAATCTGGCAACACTTCTGTACAATAACCCAGCTAAATTGCCACCCTCCGACCGACTCCTTGATTGATTTGAGCGAGTGAACGAGCGAACAAAAGCCATTCTCGTTTCCAAAATGGAAATACACACCGATGCACACAATCTCTCTTCACGCCTTCAAAAACGACAACCACCCCCGATCCGGCTGCCTCAAATCCTCCACAAAGTCCTTCACCCTCCTCTGCCTCTCCTCAATAACCTTCTCCTCGGCCGACCACCGATCCGTCACCTCCTGCTCCCGCTGCGCCTGCCGCTCTCCCCACAGCCCACCAAACCACCCCCTGTTATTCTCCTTGGTCGTCGCCATCCGCTGTTGCTGCCGCTCCAGCTCCTCCCTCCTCGCCTGCTCCTCCCTCTGCAACCTAGCCACCATCTTCCCCCAGTTCTCCAGCCCCGTCACAAGACAGTCCCTGCACACCCTCCTCACAGGCTTCATCTCCCTCAAGTTCGGGTTAATCTTGTGAAGCTGCTCCTCCGCGACATCAACCGCCTCTCTAGTCCAGGATAGTCCTTCCTCTCTCGCGCCAGGGTTGGTGGCATACATGATCTCTCCAATGTGCAGGCTCAACGCAGCTTCCTGACACCTCTCGGCTGCGTTGCGGATAGGGGGGGCGATCCCATCCCCCGGTCCTTCTGGGTACGGTGGGGGGGTGAAGATTTTGGCACAGGCGTTGTAGACACCCGACCAAAACCCCCTGTTTTGAGAAGAGGGTTTTACTTTACGTAGCTGGGAGGTCAAGTCCAGATCTGAGGGGAGGGGGAGCGAGCGACGGGCTTTGAGGAGGGAGATGTACACGGGAAGGGCAAAGTTGATGTCGCCTTGACGAGCGCGGAAATCGGCATAGGCGGTGAGGGTGTTGAGGAGGTTTTCAGACGGCAACCCGGCTTCCTCGTTGAGGGTCATTGTTTTTGGGTCGAGGGGGGGGGCGGGGGTGGTGTTCTCGATTTGTTTGAGGGCGAGGTGGAGGGCGTCTTCGTAGATGATGCTTGCTGGTCCGGCGATACCTTTATACTCTAGCCAGGAGCCATAAGCAAGGCCAGCGTCAATCTTCTGGCGGTCGGTGAAGCCGACCGTGTTGAGGATTTTCAGGTAGATTTCGTTTGGGTTCTCGTGACGGAGGATGCAATCTTCTTCTCTGGGGGCTTTACGGAAACCAGGGGGGACGGGTTTTGGATAGGGGTTGGAGGGACCGATCATCGTCCCCGGGGGGAAGGTTCCCCCGTTTGCTGTGTCCCAGACCCAACCTTCCATGTGCTCGGCGGCTTTGGCCCAGAACATCATTGCGTCGAAGTAGGCTCTTCTCCACTCTTGAGATTTGGCCGTGATGTCCTTCGTTCCCTTGGGGCCGTCTGGTGCGTCCTTTAGGCCGGCTCCCTCGAACTCTGGGTCGTGTAACCGCTTGATTACTGTGTCGATCCAGTGTCCTACTTGGATCCAATCCACCGCATTGCCGTGCTTAGGGTCGTAGAGGGCGATGTTGGCCATACGCATTCGGAAGCGGGTCATGAAACTCCATTCTTCTGTTGTGGGATAGTCCCTTTCGTTGCGCTCGCAAAAGTAGGCGAAGGAGATACCAAAGATTGCGAAGCCGGCGATCCAGATGTAGCCGACGTATTTGATTCCCGTCAGGATTTCATATCTGAGCTGAGCCCTCCGCTCCGTCGTCATGTGTCGTACTCTCGTCACCCGTGTCGACGTCGAGCTCGAGGGCACGGAAAGAAAAGGGACGTCTGGTCGGGCGCGGAGGTTGTGACGAGCTACGGCGGCCTGGAAGAAGTTGCGCTGGACCGTCTGGACCCCCGCCCGGCGCAGCATGAGGCGGGAGGACCGCATCGTGACTGTGGAAAGCGAAGACATGGCTGTCGATATCGTTTTCGAGCTCGGATGTGGGATGGTGTAGACTGGATGGTGTGGTTACCGTTATGGTGTCATTGGTTTAGCACATAGCTGGCTGGCAAAGATACCAAGCGCCGTCGCCAGCACTGGAAAGGTATGTATGGCTTTCGGGACGTTGGTCGAGCTCAAAGATGGGATTTTTGTCAATGACGATGGATGCTCGTAGCTCGAGATGCCTCCACTTTTCTCCAAGGGTTCCTGGTTCGGCTTGGCGAAACCCCCACCCCACATGAGCGTCGAAGCTGAAGCTTGGGCCATCGAAGAGACGACCCCCCCTTTCCTGGTCCATCACCAACAACGGGCCGCTCCTTCCCAGGTCGCAATGTGAAGCAGCATTTGTAGGCCGGATCTTACTTAGCACGAATTCAAGATCGACATCATGCAATGGCCCAGGTCTTGGCCCAGAACCTCCCCAAGCAAGAGGCCCATGTGAAACCCCACCCCACCAAACACTTCCCTCTGCGATGGGCTCCCGAGAGCTTATGTGACAAATGAGGCTCTCATGGTCAATTCCTATAGACCGAGCCTTTACTTCTGCAGCCCCTTTATGATCACTGATTTAAGTGCTGACTCCGGCCCCACGATGGCCAGAAACGAGGTCTTGAACGATGACACTCTCTTCAGTCACTCCTCTTCATTTTCTCCCGTCCTGTAGACCAGGACCCTCAGCTCCTGGAGAGCAGCCATACTTTCTATATCTATCGACAACTTCAAGGCCGGTCCATGTTGCATCCTCTCTTTAAAACCCATGATCCTACCCTTCCCCTGACCGCCTCTCACAATGTCAACAACAACCCCCTTCATCCCCACCTGGAACCCCAAACCCTTCCCAGGCATCTCCCTCTCCGCCGGTGGCCTCTTGGCGCTCGCAGACCTCCAAACGATAGCCAAACGCACCGCCATCACCGGCGGCGCCTCCTGGGCGGACGCCTTCCTCCTCGCCCCCGGCCTTCACTACCAGCAGGCAGCCGGGGATTTGTTCCGCAAAGGCGGTAGTGGTGGTGCTTCGGCCATAACCAAAATAGTAGATCAATCCTCCCCTGACAGAGAGGTGACCCTCCAGCTCAACAACGCCGCCACGGCAGAATACATCCAGTCGATCGCCAAGCCAGGACAAGAAGTGGTGCTTGATATTGGGCGGGTCAGGGAGACAACAAGGGGGAAAAGGTATTTCTTGCGACGGAGCAACGGCGGGAGGAGTGCGGTTGCCTGGTCGGAGGAGGAAGAGGGGGTGGATGGAGGGTTGGGGTGGGTTTCGCACGTGTTATATCTCTCGACGCTGTTTTTGACAATGGGGACGATAGTAGTAGTTGTTCTCTTCAAAGATTGTCAGTCGCCCTTTTCTTTTTCCCTGCTGATTTAGCAAGAGCTGATGATGATAAAAGGGTGGTGCCTCATGTCTATACTGGGCTACATGACCTCCCGCCTGCTAAACATCTGCATTATCAAACGGCGGACCTCCCAGCAACCTAGAGATCCCTCCCCTTCCCGTTCCCCTAAGCAATCCAAAAGTGGCTCCCGCCATCGCAGTCGCAGCCGGGTGTCCGAGTATGCACGCCGCGCAGCGACGTATCTTGTTTCTTTTGGTGATGATAATAAGACTGCTGTGAGGCTGAGGGGGAAGATGTCTGATCTTGGGGCGGTCACGTCTGATGCTTGGTTGAGGAGTAAGACCAACGTCGAGGGGTACTTGGAAGCGACGGCGAAATTGATAGTATGGGTGGTGGCAGCCTTGTCAGGGAATATGACACAGGTGGGGAGTCTGATGATGATGGTGTTGTTGATATTGTCAGCGGGCTTGCTGGCGGTGAGTAATAGTCGAGCTGGAGGGGTGAGGGTTAATGGGCGGGTTGCGAAACTGGGAAAGGGGGATGTGGAACAGGGGGAGAAAAGAGGGGGCTTAGGGTCGACGACAAGTGTTGACAGTGTGGGGAGCGGAGATGGAAGAAGGAGGGGAAGGGGGGATGAGTGCAGGCCTGCTACTGCCGCTGTGGATTCGAGGGCGGGAGAGGACGGGGCGGATTCGGCGGAGAGAGGTGAGGCCGGGCATGGTGGCCAGGTGCGTGTTAAGTGGAAGGAAAGTTTGGAGCGGAGGCCGGATCAGCATGTGTAATTGGTGGGACTTTTGGCTGGTGATGGTGATCATCTTAGACACCATCGAAACCCATGGAGGACGGTAGGTGAGCACGGGGTTGATATAAGGTTTGCAGACGAGAAACTGGACTTTCACCTATCTTCTTGGACGCAGGATTGTGGCGCCAGGGTAATAAGCGCAAGTGTGCATGGCTTTTGAAAGAGGTACATTGGAACATGCAGAGAAGTACCCTGTGTTATGGGACACTGTGTGGGAAAAGTGGCTGCCAAGTTCAGCTGTAGTGACAAGATACAATTGCAAGGCAAGCTAACAGGGGCGCGCTTATCGAGACCGCAGTAGAAAGCGTTGGCTAACCCATTGACACCAGGCCGATATTTCAGCAGCCAACAACCTCGAATTTAGCGGTATAAAACATTGTGGCCACTGTGAAACGTAGCCCGGTCGAGCAGAACTGGCCTTCCAAGGCGGCTTCACCCGTCTGCTAGCTGGCCTCCCGCGGGCTGGCTATCGAGGCTCTCAACCTGTCAGAGCATCAAGTAAATGCATTAGATTGGCCCGTCAGCTAAACGGGCCCTATCCTGAAAGCGTCCTTTTGCACTATCCTTTCGTCCTTCATGATCTCCCAGAACTCTTGATTGTGCTTCTGAAGCTCCTCCTCCTCTTTCTCTGCGAATTCCACGTCTGGCTGTTCGAACGCGGCAATTGCGCTTTCCAGGGCTTTTTTCGGAAACCCGGTAGCGTTCAAGAGCGAGTCAAATCTGGACTCGGGGGTTGCTAACGGGTCAAGCTGGGCCGCAAGGGTGTATGTCCGCTCTGCTTGCGAAGGCTTGACGATATGTACTGTCTTGGTGGGTTTGCCCGTTGGGAATGGCGAAACAAATACAACATTTGTGACGGCCGCGTTGGCATTGGCCAACTCTACCGGCGTCTTGTTCTTTTCCGAGATGTCCCACCTCATGATCTGACCTCTTGGATGGCCCGTAAGAATGACTGTCCCGTCATAACTCATACTCAAGCAAGAGGCCGGCCCGAGCTCTGGTGGAGTTGCCCCAAAAGGTGACTCGATTTGTACCACGGTCGATGCCTCTTCTGATGACGGCCCGAGCAGAGGCTTCTCCCCGAACAGTTCTGTGACGAAAAGTGTGCCGTCCTCGCAGGACGCGCAAACAGCCCGCGATGAGGGGTCTAAGGAGACGCACAGAGGAAACTTGGGAAAGATGAGGGTCCGCAGGGCGTCGCCTGTTTGGTAATTCCAAATGATGCAAGACTTGTCCTTGCTGGCTGACACGCAGAAGTTTGTGCTGGCACTAACACTTGAGTTTGCGGACAGGGCCGTGATGCCTGCCCTGTGGTTGGAAAGGCTCCTCTCCGGTTCCGGTTCGGCGGCTGAGTCCAGCTCCAGAAGCTGGGACATGGACCACACATGGATATCGGAGTCATCAGAGCCTGTGAGAATGTGCGTGGGCGTGGCAACCACGCAGGAAACTGCCTGAACGTGGCGCGCAGGAGTCGACACTAGTCGGCCAGTGCATGTCTGTTTGATAGTGGTCAGTATCAAATGAGAAGGGGGCGGTGGGCTGGGTTCATGGAAGTTCTCACCTCCCATAACATGAGACGCCCTTCAGCTGTGCCCATGATGAGAACATCGCCGGACAAGGTTACACATCGTATCCTTTCTGGAAAGGCAACAAATGCCTCCTGGTTTCCACGTAACCTCGAGTAGACGTGCACGTAAGCTTTGCCCTCCTGCGCAGCGAACACATGCGTCTCGCTCACAGCAAGACAGTTCACTGGAACTGAGCTCTTTTTGAAGGTCGACTTGATGGAATAAGCTGGGCTCAGAGTATGAGTGTAGATGCCGATATCTTTGGAGATGGCAGTGTTGGATGAGAGCGGAGGGCCGCAGATGGCCGACACAAATTCTTCCGACAGCATCTTCCCCTTTCTCTCTGGTGGAAGCAAGAGAGGTCTATCCCCTTGCGTCGACCTCGTTGTGTCGGTGAGCTGCTTCTCGTTTTCCTTCCCGTCCCACACCAGAACCCGGGCAGCCGTTTCAGAGAATTGCGCAACGAGCCAACCACGAGGGGAAATAACGTCGTCCAGTTCTTGCGGTCTCGAGTGACGCCAAATGACGGGCAGCCGTCAGTTGAAATTCCGGCCGGTGAGTGCAGCTGGTAGCACGAACCCACTTGTGTATCGCCGTGAGACAATCACGCCCTTGGTTCGCCTCGGATCAGACCACGGAATCAGAAAAGAAGAAAGCAACAGTGAACCGGCCGCAAGATGGAGATATTTTTGAAAATCGGACGCCACTATTGACGTGTGTGGGGTGGTGATCAGTGTGATATCCGTCGCCCTGTGAGGTTGAAATTTTGCCCATATTCTTTTTTTTTTTTTTTTTGCTTGCTTTTCCCATGCCTGCTACCTTTTAGCGTAGCAGCAGCTTCGGGAATTTAGCGCCACGAAGGCGCACTGACCTCTGTGGGGGATCTCAGGGACCCAGGCACCCAGGATCCCCAGTCGATTCCGTGTCGATCTCAGCCGCAAGGGAAGTTCGTCTGGGGGGTTCACGGGTGCGGGGGTAAGCGCTGTAACCCTGGATCGCGGTTTTCAGTCTGGGGGTTTAGTTCATCTGAATGATGGGTTTGGATGTGTATATTTCGTCTCGTCTGTTTGCCACCCTCAACTCAAAGATCAGGGTTTTATGATCAGAGTCTCTTTTTTTTTTCTTCTTTTTTTTTTTTTTTGCGCGGTGATCGTTGCCTTTTTTATGCCTTCATGCACCCTTTCGCCAGTCTGATTTGGCATAGGTAAGCCACGGCTCATGCAGCTCTTCGTTGTCGGCTTGCAGCAGCATCCTGCTTTTCTGGAGGATGCATCTGACATGGCCACTGACGGGAGATAGCACCAGCCATCTATCTGCCACCAGTCACCCGACAGACAGCGCCAATGACGGAAGAGAAGCGCTGCATGTTTTGATCTGAAGCAATTCATGGACTGGCGCCCCCTGCATCAGATAGACGCAAGGCCGTATCTCAGCTGGCAACTGAACCTGTTCGGGAAGCCGACAGATGGGCAGCATGAACCCACAGTCCGGTCTCCGAGTCTCGTCGTCATATCTCCATTGTGACCTGTCTCAATCTGGAATCTTGCTTTCTTTTCCACGTCGTGTGTGGTGTGTGGTGCAAAAGGTGCTTCCCGACGGCAGGCACGGTTGCATTGTATCGACCACCTCATGATGAGTGCCCATCAAGACTTATACGAGACGTGGTCCAGGGCCAGGACCACGTAGCTCTCGCCTCTCCTACTCCCATCGCCGACCACCGCTTGGCTCCCCTGCGACTTCCATGTCGGACCCCGAATTGGCGGTTACACTGGTTCCTGCCTCCCGCAGCTTCATAGCGCACGAGCACGCTCCGTACCAGGCAAGCGTTACCAAGGGCAGGGCACGAAGCAGGGCAAGAAGCAGGAGCACGCACACGAGCACGCACACGAGGAGCTCCAGTCTCGGATCGTCTGCACAGGGGACTCCCCCACGGCGATCAGTCTCGAGCATGAAAATACTTTTCCCCTTGACTCTCTCCCCAACTTTGCAGACGCAGACACCCACCGATCCCATGGATTCGTCCACCACGTCCAATGCAGAGTCGATCTGTTCTTCAGCCAGTACCAACGAGATGGACCACATCCATAATGAACCCCTGGCCGACTGCAACTTACCCGAGATGCTCGTGCGGGACCTCGAGACCTCTGAAGTTGTGTTTAGGACAAAGTCCATGACTGCTGGCTGCCCGTCTGCCGCTTTTGCAACATCCAGCGAAGATGAACACGGCGATGAGGAGGACGCAGGGGGCAAAAGCGAGTCTACCGACTCCTTGAGCATGGCATCCAGCGGCATGGACCCGCCGCCCTCCATTCGGGTGCGAGGGCATTCAGTCACCACAGCAGCTACCTCAGTATCCGGTCGACGCTCTTCGTCATTCTCACAGAAAGCCCACTCGCAATCTTCCCCCTCCACGCCACCTTCTTCACCAGCGATGGCCCAGAACCATCATGGAACTTGGTTCGATGCGGACGGGGAGGGTGACGCCACCATCAGCTCGAGAATCCAGGGGCCGTCCCAAGATGTCCAGAGTCTTACTGGCGGACACAGTAGCGATATCAACTCGTTTTCCTACAACGACGGGATGAAAAGACAAACCGAAGCTATTGCCTATCACCTTCGTCCGAACAGCCCCAACTCTTACGAGCGACCTTGCACGCCCAGCAGTCAAATCAGTCAGTTGGTTCGAGAGAGGCCACGGTTAGTCAACATTCCGCCTACTGCCATCCCCAAACGAAAGTCGTCACTTAATAGGGGCCACGTTCGCACAATGTCGGGTAGTTCAGTGGCGCCGAGCAATCATGAAATTCTCCGGAGGACGTCGGTGGGGCAGTTGGCACCTTCTGCTAGCATGCAAGTGCTTGGGCCTCGAAATGGTGAGAGATATGGGGAGAGTTCACGTCCGCCTTCAAGAGGTCGAGATGGCAATGGCCACGTGCACGCTCGCCGGTCAAACGGCGCTTTCTTTCCTGACAATCTCAGTGAAAATGTCTTTTTGGATGACGACGAGGAAATACGCGCGACAGGTGTCTATGATCAGCCAGTTCAGACCAAGCCACACACGCATTCTCTCAACGGAAGGACCTCTGGTGGCCCAGCTACCAATATCCAGGAGATCCAACGCACCACGCATTCGACGGCGTCATACACAACGCCCGGCATTCCTCTGCCACCCGACGTACTCGAGGTCCTGCGGGTTTCGGTCTCTTGTTTCCCAGAAACGATGCTCACTACCTCCAGTCTGACAGTCGATAATATCCGGACATATTCGAGAAAACTTCGTCATGGAGGAATGCCAGATTGCGACTTCATGAGCGACGATCAGTCATTGTTTTCCTCCGGGGACAACAGCCTGAAGCCGCGGCCATCAAGGAAGTGGAAGCTGAATTGGTTCGGACAAAGTCATAAGCTTACTAAACATCAACAACACGGACGCCAGCAAACCCAGTTGCTCTCTGGAGGCTCGGAGGATGTCGATGCTCTTGGACAAGTTCGGTCTCCCAGGAAGACTACAGAGGCTTCATGGAGGCCCATCAGGGCTATTTTCCCTTTCGGATCCGACTACCTCTGTGATGCTCTCTACGCACACGTACTGGCCTACAACTACATTAGCACGTTATGCCCCCCACCTCCAGTGTCATCACTACGCCAACAAGCGCCAGGATCAGCGGGCCATCGTCCTTCTGGCTCGTCTTCTGACGACCCAAATAGCAAAACCAGAGTGCCCAAGAAGGCAGCCAGTGTCCTCGGCATGCAGGATGATAACGCCCATAACAACAGACCAACAACACCTAGCAGCGGTCCGCATCACCGACGCAGCAGATCGCACAGATTTCTGAGCCGGGATAGTCATGGAAGAGGCTCGCTCAAATCGAGAGGCAGCACTGCTTCTGGGTTGGAGGGCAACGACAACAGCAACAGCAATGGCAACAATGCCGTGGCCTCCGGAATGCGAGAATTACACGCTGGGCTGGCCAAATGTATTGCGTTGCTTGTTTCGACACTGAAGAAGACCGAGGCGGGTGACTTGCAAGGAGTTGAGAGTGGCGGAGATGCCAACACGCTTCTTATCAGGGAGAGGGAGGTGCATGATGAGTCGGGCGCGGTGGATGTACTCTTACTGCGAGCGCTCTGTGAGGTGGTGAGAATCTCCGAGGCATAACGATGTTTGGTTGTATTTGTGATGGATTTAATGTTTAACGAGGTGTTGACAGACGGTGTGGACTGGCAGGAGGTATTTTGGCGGCGCAGGTTGCTACTTGGGTTGGGTGGTCATGTATGGGTGGGCGGGTTTTATATGCTTGATAATACCCCTTTGTGACGGTGGTATGAAAAAAAGGGAAAGGAGTCATATGTACAATAACTTGTGCTTCGGCCTCATAATAATGCTGTATTTGATGTCCCCACATTGTTCGTTTCTTGCTTGTTGATTCTGGAAGGCACAGATCGAAAGCTGCCAAGCAACCACCTGCAGGGGGACAGGCTCTTTCCATTTTTGGATCAAGCGGGTGAGCGGGGATGGAGGGACATTTCCACCACACCTCCACCACACCTCCACAAACCCACAAACTATTTTGACCGTCTGATTTCTTAACCTCCGAACTCACTCGGAGGCCAAGACCGAGTCTGACAACCACCTCCGGACCCCACCGCTCGGATCCGCTCCGTGACACCCCTTTTCCGACCTATGCTGCCGGCCCGTCCCTTCTAACTGCCGAGTGATTTCGGACGAAGTGAACAGACACGCAACGCCCGAGGTTCACAACTGTATTAGCAGCTTGGGACGCGGTGCTACGGTGAGAAACGCGCTCACTTGGAAACTTGCCGTGGAGCACTCGGAGGATTTGCTATTGGAGGTTGGATTAGAAAGAGGAACCGTTCTTGAGTTTGGGTCACGCTTGTCCTCTTCATCCTCTTTTCTCATTTGACCGGTGGCCGCCCCCTTTTTTTTTTTCGTTGATCCGGTGCCCTGCAGCAAAGAAAATGGAGACAGCCGGAGAGCAGAACATCCCCGCGAGTGCTCGGCCTCGGGTAACGAATGCTTGTGAGGCATGTCGGTCGGCCAAGGTTAAGTGCATGGCCAGTAATCAGTTGGGGATATGTAAGAGGTAGGTTTTTTTTTCTTTTCTTTTTCTTGTCGGGTAGGGGGAGGGGAAGGGGTGTATAAAGGGTTGAGTTGTCATATTTGTCTCCCCCCCCCCCAGACCGTACACACACATTGTGAGATATGTGTATGTGTCTTTGATCAGGAAATCACTTGTTCTTGTTTGCAATATAGATGATTAACAGTTGTTCTTGTGTGTGTTAGATGCCTGGATTCCAAAAGAGAGTGCATCTTCAAAACTGGACCTCGAACTCGACGGCCGAAACAGTCGAAAAGGTATGATATTCTTTTTTATACCAGGTCATACCCGACAAGTAAAAGTTCCCTACCGGATATTTCCAAGTTATTCATCTGTTGACATCACCTTTTTTTTCTCGCTCACATAAAGATCCCAATCCTCCACCGACCCAACCACAGCCACAGCAGGGCCCCCTTCCCCCTCCCACCACCACCCGGCCCCTCCAAAACCTTCACAATCGACATCCCCAATGCCCTGCCGACGACGACGTAACCGACAGCTTCGAGGTCCTCCGCCTGGCCCACGAGTCCACACTCAACAACTTGGTTCCCCACCTCTCCTCATGGCGAAGAAGACCAAGAAGATGAACCCATCTACTGACTACGACTACGACAAGAACGCCAACACTGGATTGTGCTCAACACCGAGCAGGCCTCCAACCTGCGGCTCGGTCATCTCCTCCCATGCCTCCTCCCTTCCGATAGGGGCTTCGGCATTGTCCACCCCGCCAAGCAGCACCACCACCGCTGCTACCACTGGCACGAGATCCAAGCAGAAGAGCAGAATGGTGGCTAGCTTGGGGCTGCAGCCGCAGTTCAACGTTGATTCGGCGGGCAAGTTACTGCAGACGTTTACGGGGGTGATGTTGAATCACTTTCACTGTTTGGTTATTGATCCTGAGCGGGACACGGTGGCGAGTTTGGCGAAGGAGAGACCGTTCGTTTTGCTTGCTGTGCTGGCGGCGGCGAGCGGGAGTCGGACGCTGCAGGGGCACAGTTTGTATGATGAGGAGTTTAGGAAGATTTTGGGCTTGAAGTTTGTGGCTGGGGGGGAGAGGAGTTTGGAGCTGTTGCAGGGGTTGGTGGTTTACATTGCTTGGTTAGTCTTTCGTGAGGACGGTTGGTGGGAGCGCTGACATGGGACAGGTATCCGTTTCATTTGCGGCCAAAGAACAAGCAGGCGTACCAGTATATACGTATGGCGGTGGACATTGTCTTTGATCTGGAACTCAACGAAGACCCGGGGACGGACCGGGTTGATGTCCCGCCCACCGAGGCGAGGTTGGAGGAGATAAGGACGTATGCGGCTTGTTATTATCTCGCTTCGTCGTAGGTTTTCCTGCCCTGAACCTTCTCGTTGGCAGGAATCTGACACGGTCACCAGATTCGCCGCCACGTGGGGCCGCACCCCAACTCTAGCCTACAACACCTACACCGCCCACTGCTGCGAAATGCTCTCCCGCCACAGCCCCCTCAAAGGCGACCAGGTTCTGGTCTGGCAGGTCAGACTTCAGCGGCTGGTGGAGGAAACCAACGATCTCCGCCGGACTCAGAGGGGTGGCGCGCATTCCCAACAAAGTGAATACCAAATCAACCTCATGATACGAGGAATGGAGACGCAACTCAAAGAGTGGGAGGCGTGCATGAGCCGCGAGCTTAAAAACACTCGTGAGTCGTATTAGTGCTTCCCCGATACAAAACTCACCCAACCTCTGGCTCGCCGGGTACACCACCCAACCCTATCCCTCACCGCTGTCCACCCCCTTCCCCATGCCGCCCAGATGCTAACCCCGCCCCAGCATCCCTCCGCATCCTCCTCCTCTTCACCCCCCTCTTCCTCTCCGGCGCCCCCCTCTTCAAGCTCCCCTCCGCAAAACTAACCCCCCTCCTCGACCCCTCCCAAACAACCTTCCGCGCCGACGCCTCCAAGCTCTCCTCTCTGATCCCCACCCTCCGCGAGTTCTACTCCTACTTTTTGTCCCTCCCCGCCCAGGAAATAAACGCCTTCATGGGACAAGAATGGGGCTCCTTCATCCTCGTCATCATCCTCGGCTTCAGGATGTGTTTCCCCATGGCCATCTGTCCCGATTGGGACGACAAGTGGCGCGAGAGAGGATAGGGATGGGGGAGTTTTTGGGAAAGATGTGTGGTGATGCCGCCGGGGAAGAGGGGGGAAAGGGGAAGGGTACGTCTATGGATGTTTTGAGTGCTAGCAGGATTGTGCTGGGGGTGGTGAAGAAGAAGTTTGATAGACGGGTTCAGAGGGTGGAGCGGGAGCAGAGGGAGGAGCAGGAGAGGCAGACGGGGTTGATTGGGCGGGTTGTGGAGGGGTTGGGGTTGGGGTTGGGCCGTGGAGGAGGCGGCCAGGTAGCGGGCGGAGGAGGAGGAGGAGGAGGAGGACATGATGGTAGTATTGGGGGTTGTCCTATGATGGATGGGAGTATGGAGGGGTATTATGCTTATTGGGACGAGACGTTTGCTGATACTGCGGGACTGGGAGGCGGTGGGTTTCAGGGTCCGAATGTTGGACCTATGGGGGGGGGAGGGACGACGACAACGACGACGATGACGGGGGGGATACCGCAGCAACAGCAGACGATGCCGCAGGTGAGTGGTGATCTTTGGGGTACGATGACTATGGCTTGGACGCAGGGGGGGATGACTTTTGATGGGATGGGGCAGTAGGTGTTTGTGGTCATATATTTGTTCATAAGATCTTGATGTAGGGTTGGTTGATACGTTAACTGAAGACGTGTTTTCTTTTCTGTTTCGAACTCGAGGGAGAATCAACAAATTTGAATTCGGACACGGCTCAAATGATGGTCTGATATTGCCTTCGGAACACCTGGGCCAAATCTGTTTGTTAGCGTTGCATGCGAATCAGGAGGCATGCCAAGTGTGTGACAGCTGCCTCGATTGCTGAGCACTGCCTGCCGTTTCGTCCACCGCGTGGCTCTGAATATTGCAGACTCAAAGGCATGTGATGAATGGCTCGAGACCCTGAAGCCACTGGATATGTTGTCCCGCAAACTTCCACCTCAGTGGCAAGTCAGTCCTCGTCATCAAAGTGATGAACTTTTACACTGTCAGCCAATCAACGCCCACGCCCACCTTTGCTACAAGTTTATACCACGCAAGTGTAAACGTCAACACGCTCATCTCCCAAACCTATAAAAACCCCCTTGATCCAATACTCGCCCAAACCGATGACCCTTAGCACCGGGCAGTACTCCTCATTTTAACACTAGTCCGAGCCTCTCACTTCCTTTTCCATCAGGAACCAAAAACCACAGATAAGAGCCCGCCTCCCACGTCCGGGTCCCCAGAACATGTGACCCGCAACCCACGCAGGTCATTGACGTGAGCGGGATCTCTCCAATAAACTGGACCTTCTCCACGCGGGATGATCACTGCATTTTCGTTGGGTGGGAATTTCCCTCCTCCTTGAAATTGGTTGGGCAGGAATTTCCCTTCAGCCCACCTTACAGAGAGAGAGAGGTGCCGTCCTCGGGTTAAATGAAATGGCGAAAATAGGAAACGATAAACTCTCCCAAACCGGTCAACTGTAATAAAACGGATCACAAAACGGTGATAACACCCCTTGCCCTGACCTTGCAAGAAAAAGAAAAAAGAAAAAAAGGAAAAAAGCCGAAAGACGGTGTTCGCGCCAACAGATCTGCAAGAAGCTTGTCTCGGCTCCGTGGTCAATGCGTTTTGGGCGATGACAGGAACGTTTGCAAAAGAACGTTGCCCCCTTGCCGGCAAGCCCGACCCCTTGCTGCCCCACTCGGTTCCCCCCTTTCTCGATCGTCCCTCGCCTCCCCGCGCTTGCGATAGAACTAGGCTCCGAGGCAGGGGTTTGGATCACGACGACAAGGTCCCAAAACAGATCGATTTCTGGCCTTGTGATATCTTGACCTTTATGTGACAAGATGCTCCCCCATCCACGTTCTCATCAGCTAGTTCCGTTGGGAGCCGTACCCGGGGCCCCGGTGCTCGTCACGTCAGTCGCACTGTTCGCGGGTCTTTTTTTTTCTCTGGAGTTTCGTTGCTAAATTAAATGAACCTAGTTGTTGAACATGAAGATCAAACCCCAAACAGTGGCATCGAAAACGTGGTGTGATACTTGCCTTGGTAAGCCTACCGGTCAGCAAGACTCTGACTGGAGCGAGTACCCCAGGTCTCACCAGCTTCTGGACTTTTTAAAAAAAAAAAAAGAAATAGGCTAGCCTGCGGTCGGTGGTGTGGCATTCCTCCTGCTCCTGGTTCAGGGATCTTCGAATCCCGCGATTTTGACGGGTATGCATGCTGGAAAGAAGCCGGAGCCACTTAGGTACCGTAGCCAGATTGTACTTGTAGGTCTGACAATGGGGGCACGATGCAGGCGGAGGGGAAGGGGAGAAGAGGGGACCGAAGCAAGCCACCACTACCACACCATCACCTACTCTCCGAGGGACACTGGAGCCCTGGACCTACGCAGCCCGTCCTCCTCCACCCCACCATCTTGGGGTGGTGTGAGAAACCCTCGCTTTGCGGCGGGATTGCGACTGGATCAGGAAGCCAGTTTTCGCTGGGCCTTGAGACATTGCTTGCGCGTGACCATCAAGCCCATCTCGATGAGCAAGGCCGCCGAAATATTGGGTTCTGCCACGTTGGGAGCCATCTCAACCCCGCAGCGGACAAGGTGGTAAATAAGGGTGTAAGGCAGCCCAGCCGTCTCGGACAGGATTCCGTGCGGTTCATCCTCCATCCACGAGCCTCAGTCAGCATGAATCTCTTTCCGTCTGGTGTGACAAAAGTCGCGGGGATAAAGTTGGGGCCCCGCGATTGGTGACGAGGCGAGAGTCCTGGGTGACGCGATGTCCAGCTATGTGAGAGATCTTGGTTGCCGCCGAAAATGACCGTGTATTGATATGGGCCTATATAAGTCATGGTGTGAGGCTGAAGGTTGTAAGCATACTTCTACGTGTCGCTCGGCAGCTTGCACCGTCGACGCGCCTCGACGACGATCGTGCACAGTGATATCAGCCTGTTTGCCCTTGACCTGTTGGTCGTCTGAAGTTGCTCCTCAATGCCACCGGAGTGACTGAAGTGGGAAGCGGCCGCTTGGCGTCGCTCGATTCGAAGAAGGCTATCTCGAAGAAACATGTGCATCTGCAGAGCAAAGCGCAGGCCGAACGCCATTGGGCGTATCTTGATCACTGCCCTCGGCGTGATGCAGTGCTTCCCTGCTTACCATGCCGGCTCGGGAATGGGCCCCAGCATCGTCGTGCATCTTCGCATTCAGCCAGCAGGCACCGAGGAGGTCCAGGTGGATGTCAGTCGTGTGTGATGGCGTCCTTCTTTAACCCTTGAGAAGTGTGGAATCATCTGGTTTCATTCGATGCGACCCTGTTCATTCCGGTTCCCGCACGTACGGCCGGCAGGTGTAGAAGACGAGTTAAGAGTTTTACATTGTCGGGTGCCGAGAATCCGGGAGGTCAGCTTTCAGGAATGTTGACCGTGATCTCATGTACTGAGACACTCAACTTACCTTATCCTCGCCAGAAGCAAAAGATGTTTGGGTGGGACGCGACTCGGGCTGTTTCTGGCCTGGGCACGTTCCACCTAGTCCCGCTTGCTGTGGGTCCTCCAAACATAACCCTTGGGCCGAAAACGGTCAGAATCTCCGGTGTGGAGATGGTCCACTTGTTTCGCCTTTTTTGTCAGTTCTCCACCTCTCCCGTCATCCCTTCAAGATTGACCATCACTCGCACGGGCATGGATGGAAGGAGATGTCTTGCAGCTCCGACGACATGGAAGCTTCCATTCATGCGATTCTAGTGTGTTGTGTTCAGTAGATTTCGGGCGACATTCAGCCCTCTTGGGCGCCTTGGCATCAATCACTCTATGCCCTCTCGGTGCATGCGCAATGCCCATGGCCATGACTGCGGGATTTGGAAGCATGGCAAAGGGTGCCAGGCGATGGGGGTCACTACATATGGAAGTCCATATACGCACCATTCAGAGCTAGGCCTCTCAAGCCTTGCCAGGACTGAGGCCGGTCGGATTCAGCCGTGAACCCCCACTACTATTGACCCCTCTCGGCCATCTTACACCGGTCTTCATATTTACTCTCATCGAACCCACCATCTTTGATGCGAGTCCAACCTACCGACTTTGAATTCTTCTCGGTTTTCCCGAGGTCCACGAGGCTTGAAGACTTGTGGGCAACAAACAAGGTTCAGCGCCGAGGTTGGTGTCGCCTCTTTCTTTGTGCTTTTGGCTTCTCACGCTGTTGGATGGTTGCGTCTATTCAAAGAAAAGTCTCTCCAGGCTGGTTGCTGAGATTGCAAATGTCAAAGGCACGCACTCGAGGGCATTCACGAGACTAGGCTCAAGAAGCCAGCCAGGCATGTACATGTGAATAAATCTGTGGCCAGCGGGGTCTGCGGCTTCTGGAATAGTCCGGCATGATCGTGTGTAGTGTCGTGGGCGTCACAAGGCCCTCGTGCTGCCTGAACGCTAAGTGGGTGCACGGCATGATCTTCAGAGACTCATGGGCTGCCTGTTCTTATGGCAAAAGCTTTTCGTAGATGTTAACATCATACGAGCCAGCCAGGTCAGATTCTGCCAAACTTACCGTGTCCAAGGGACAAACCTTACAAAGATAGGACCATGGTTGCCCTCTCTCGGGCGGAGGTCTCAGATGTAAGTTTTCCTGTGGCTCACCGTTGACAGTGCACCGTTTCCTCTTCTTCACCTTGCGCCGTCTGCAACCGTTCCTTCCTTCTTATCGTTGATAATCGATGCGCGCACAGGACAGAGTCTTGCCCAAGCTCCCTGGCTCCCTGGGCTCCATGTCAGGATTGAAAGACGTGCTGCAATCTTGTTTCTTGGCTGACCAGGACCAACAAGCGCGACGCCTCGCTCGTGCCTATCAGCAGCCAGGGCACAGGCTCCTCTTTTTTTCTTCTGCGGCACTGGGCTGGGTACATTGCGACAGTACCGTGCCTCGACCCAACGGTACCTGTGGAAACTGGAACCCCCCCCTCCCCCCAGCATCCCATCATTTGATTGAAAGCCACCAGCCGTTCGCTCACTCGGCTGAGCACTGAGCACAGTCCCGTCCCAAATCCCGCTTTTGCAACAGCTCAATCCTGCACAGCACACAAAGCTGCCCCCTTCCCACCCACCCAATCTTTCTCCAACCCCCAACTTTTTTTTTTTCCCCAAACGTCGTTGTCCTCGTTTGCGCTGCTGTACCTGGCTGTGCTGCACCACTCCTCCACGGGCTGTCATATTGCGCGCCCCTCCACCCTCGTCATCACATCACCAATCTTTAATCATTTTTTTCTCTTCGCCCGCGTCTTTCAGGTTGTCGTCGCGTCTCCCTGTTCCATCTGCGCGCGCCCAGTTCCGACAGGCTGCCAGCGAGTCGGTTCAAACCAATTCGCACCGGCCCGCGACTCGCCCGCCCTATCCATCCCAACCATCCACCATCCACCACACCGGACACCCCGACCCGACCAGGCCAGGCCCGACCACATCGCCATCCGTACCTGACAGCTAACTGCTCCACTAGCACAGCTGTCGCTGGTCAATCCCGTCGCCCATCTCCACCCGTTCTTCCCAACAGCGCACACGCACTCACACTCGCACTCGATCGTCGCGATCGTCGCCCTGGCCGCTGTTGGATAACGCGACGTTGCATGCATCGCGAGGCATGCCTGGGGATCAGAATTCGGTCGGTGCATCCTCCAACGGACCGGCTCCCACTCCTCAATCATTTGCTTCTTTGACAAGCAACGGCAACGGTGTCAAGTCCTATCTCGCAACAACAGCCGCTTCTGCAAATTATGCAATGGCCGCCTCGAGCTTTCTCCCTGCGCAGCATCGGACTCCGGCGATAGGCAGCGGCTTGGGTACCTACCCGCCTGCCCTGCCAAAGGCCGACTCTTTTGACGCCAACGGCAATGGCCACGCGACCACCCCCCTCGGCACTCCGTTCTCTACCACCCCGCCCACCCTCTCCGCCGCCGTCATCCGGAACCTCCCCAACGACACGGACGAGAAGTTGTTGCGCGCCATGCTCGTGTTCTCCAAGGACCTCGCCAGCATCGAGTTCCTTCCCGACGACAAGGGCTTTCGCGCTGCTCACTTGAAGTTCAAGAGCCCCGCCGGCGCGCTCGAGGTCAAGAACAATCTTGACGGCAAGTCCAATCACTCCAACGACGCCGACATCATTGTCGAGATCATTGGCCCGACGAGCCCCTCGTCCATGGGCAAGCGATACCCGAGCGACGCGACCCTCCCGGTTGGCACACCCGCAACGGTCTCTGGCGGCCCCCCGACTGCGCCGTCGTCGCGCCAGCAGTCGCGATTCAATAGTCACTTCCACACTATTGAGAAGACAGCGGTGGGAAATGGCGCATACGCTGGTGACTTTCGAACGGCAGACGGCCGTTTTGACGTCTTTGGTCCTCAGTCGCCCATCGGAACGCACCCGAACGAGCGCAACGGCATGCTGGGCAAGTCGATGATTGACGCCACGAATGACGATGAGGACACGGCGCAACTTCTCGGGAAAACCCACCTGTTTGCCGAGAGCGGCCTGCAACGCCGACAGACTGCTCCGCACATCCCTATCACGTCGCGCATGGCAAATATGTCTCTGAACATCAACACGCAGTCTGTCCAACCGATCGGTCAGTATGGTAATCACCAGGGCTTCGCCACCATGTCGCCAAGCATGATGACCTCGGTCGGCGGATTTCCCTTACCCCAACAATACAGGACACACATGCCGCCCGCTAACCCAGCCGATCAAAACCCGCCCTGCAATACCCTCTATGTTGGCAATCTCCCGGTCGATACGTCCGAAGAGGAGCTCAAACAGCTGTTCTCGAAACAGCGGGGTTACAAACGGCTTTGTTTCCGCACCAAGCAGAACGGACCCATGTGCTTTGTAGAGTTTGAGAACATCACCTTTGCCACAAAGGCGCTCAATGAGCTGTACGGTTTCCAGCTCCACAACAGTGTCAAGGGAGGAATCCGTCTGAGCTTCTCCAAGAACCCGCTTGGTGTTCGCACAGGTCAAGTGCCCGGCCAAAGCGGTCAAGGAGCACTGAATGGGCCGAACGGGGGACACGTCGGAGCCAACGGCTTCACCACAGCCAGCGGGCCGCCCCCAGGTCTCCCGGCACAGCCTCCTCCAGGTTTGGGCCTGAACAGAGCCGGGTTCTCGAGCTCGCCCGGGCTTTCCAACCCGTACTCGTCTCCGACCTACTCGAGTCCCTCCACAGATGTTTATGATCAGTGGAACAACAACCTCATGTACGGCAACGGCAACAGCGCACACATGGTGGGCGCCAACGGCAACAACGGGTACATGATGGGCTCGAGCGCGACCTATCCCAGCCACATGATGGGTAGATGAGTGCCTCCTGATCATGCCGTCAATAGAACATGATGTTTCACTTGCTATTTCGGTTTATCATCTCGCATGTTACCACAGCGACTGGGCCTTCTGCTCTTTCCAAGTGTCTTGGTCCGTGGCATTGCGTGGCATGGCCTCGGTGTTGGGTGGAAAGCGGCTTGACTTGTTGCTGATTGCATCAAATTGGTGTCTTTGCAATTGTTGTTGGGAGGAAAGCGAGGTTTCGACGGCGTCTCTCGAATTTTTTTCTCCATTCTTCCATTCCCCCCGCTGGCCTGATTATCACCATACAGCGCTTGTTGCATTTTTCGGTACTCTTTTATGTGTTTATTTGTTTATTTTTGTTCATTTCGACGGGCACAAGGGAGTTTTTTTTTTTTTTTTTTTTTTTTTTTTTAGAGAGTGATATCATCATTATACCAGACGCATTGGGAGAGTGCTTTTGGCTTTTTCCGGCCCTCCTTTGGGGCGATTTGTCCTCACGGCACAATCGGCTCTTGGTTTCACGCATTACAACACCACCATACTGTCAAAGCGGCGGCGTAAAGGGGTCAGGGAGGAAAGGTTGGGTGGGAGTAATCATGGCCAGTGGCGTATAGCATCGGTTCATCATTACACCAAACAAGCGAAGCATATTCTGGTGACACGCATTTTGTTGAAGGGTTTTCTTTTTTTTTGGAGGGAGTTCTGGTAAAGTTGATGTGGCTTTTACACACCTGGGTGGGAAGCGGGATTTGTCTTTCCAGAATTTCTGTTAAAGCGAGGGCAATGGGGGAGGTTAGGAATCGGGTATAGGAGGTGGGAGGTTTGGGGGTGGGTGTCTACCACAACGATCGACCGATGCAACTACTACATGCTGGGCGGAAATCAACAAAAAAGTCTCATAATACTGAAAAACAAAACACATTTCCATATGAGCAATGAAAACCAAAGCCCTTCTA